GTTTGTTTGTTTTGGTTTTTTTTTTTGTTAGCCGTCTTTCCATCCCTTGTTTGGCATATGCTTGTTAATATTGTTTGAGGGAATTAATATTTATAGTGAATTTCCGAAGCACTTCTGTGGTATCTGCTCCTGAGTGAGAGCAGTGACTGCTTTTATGGAGCTTATTCTATTTACATCCTTCCCACTGTGCATGTTCTGCTGCTTTGCTTGTAATAGGAGGAAGATGTGCTTAGATATTTGATTTGTTGTTCGTAGAAAACATTTGCCGATACTGTGCTCTTAAAACATGTCTATTCCATTCTTTGTTTCATGCAATTTATTAAAGTAGCCTTGAMTATAGCCTTGGTATAACCATATGGACAGCAAGCATCTTTGAGAATGTTTTACAAAATTAACATGCTGTTTCTGAGACTTAGTCCATGAATATAAATGACGAAGTTTTGCTTTTGAAAAGCCAAGAAGCATCTTGAAATTCCCTTTCAATTACTTGATGTCGGATCCAAAAAATTACTTTTAATAAAATCCTGGTTTGCATCTTCCAGCTGTATGTTTGTTCGTGTGTAAATGCCATTAGTTACCCAAAATAGCCTTAACCTTTTCCTTTATACTTTACAGTGAAAGGCAAAGAACAAGAAAAGACCACAGATGTGAGAGCAATTAAAAGTAAGATCAATATTTACTTTCTTTATAAATTCAGTTCTCTGATATAATCTGCCATCCCTATTTTAAGCAGAGCAACAGTTTCCTTATGGCTGAACACAAATGYGACCTCTGCCACAAAAATTCAAAGCAGATCAAAAACTCGATTCCAAGCATTACAGTAACTAATCTTTCCTAATCATCTTGCTGAATCTGTAAGGACAGAAGATTATTAAACTGTCAGACATAATCTTTAATTCAAAGCGATAGTAAAACTCAGCCACTTTGCAACTAGTGGTTAGTCGTTACCTAGGCAAGTTGCTTCTGACATTCCATGCTAGCGTGTCGTGTATTTTAGTTTTGAAAATGCAGATTTACTGTGCCTAATTWGCAAAATAGAATGCTAGTGTCTGGCTTGACTTTTGCTGATGTCTTGAGTCTTGTGATCTGAATCTTGTTTGGATTATTCAGCTCTTCTAATACTCCTCCATGTGCTACAGAAACTTTGCTGCTGTATCTGTTGTGAAAGTAAAAGATCTTGTTGAGAAGTAAGCTGGTAAACTATGGGAAAACACATTAGTTTATCTTGTCAGTTTTTATTACATTACTACAGGCAGATGAAGTAATATATATGCATCTGATCTGTTGCTTTTATATTTTCCTCAGCCCAAATGCTCTTTCTGTACTTTTGCTATGTTTTGTGAATATCAAGAGAAAATTAAAGRCTTCTTTCTCTTTGTTGGTCTGTCCCTGAAGTCAGTCTTGCTCGTTTTATAGCTCACACTGTGATTATAGTGCAGTTCCAATGACCGGTGACTAGCTGAAACAGGTAGTCAGGGAAAGATTGCAGTGTGGTCTCTGGGCAAGTAAAAACAAATTTTCAATTTTATTTCATTATAAATTGTCAGCAGCTGTCACTGRATAAACAAGAAGCATCTTTCTGGTTTGACAAAAAGCTGCTCCKTGTTGTATAGATGTTAGGTTAGTGATGTAGTGTTACCTATAAGCTGTAGAATAGTTGTTAGATTCCTTAGATTAAATACAGCACTTTTGCCCAAAATGTTTATAACACAATTAAATCCAATTCACAAAAACCTAAACAATTGTGACAAGCGTGGCTGTCATTCTACAGCAAGTCATCCTTGGCCACTGGCATCAGCCAAGCACTTGGCTGCCTTCCATTGGCCTGGAAAACCTGTTTTTCTTTCCATTATCGTTGATATTACATACCAAAGGCTTTGTAAAGGGTGGCAAGCACTATCTTGCTACCAAATACTTTGTGCTTTGGAATATCTTGAACCTTTTGGTTTTCCTATACCATTGCTTTTAAAGTGTCTGGTACCCTGACAGAAGTGTGAAATTGTCAGCTTCTGTCATCCTATGTCACAAAACTGTGAACAGAAATGAAGTTATGCAGTAGGAAGGTCATCAAAACAAACTTTCTTGACACCTTGACGAACCACATCGCTATGAAGCGGTGTACTGAGACAGCATGTCACCTGACATCTTTATTTTTAAGAGTGTGTGAGGTGTCCTTGCATGACATCCTAATCAAATGTAATTTCCCAAGGCTTTGAAAGTGGTAGGTGGTTTTATTTTTAGCTTTGTCATCAATTAAAAAAAAAATCTTTGACTCTTTTTGCAGGTGGTTTTCTGTGAGGAAATTATTCTTTGTTCTCTTTGGCCTCAAGTAGCCAACCATGTTCTGAAACTGCTAGAAGAGATTAAGCCTTATAATCATCTGAATTTCATCAGAGATGTTTGCATGTTGCTTTTTTTCCCCCTCTTCTAAACTAAATAGGGTTAAAGTATTTAGGAAAGAAAAGTTCTTGTTAAATCTCACAGATAGCTTCATAACTCGGAGTCTTCTGAACACATAAAATTAGAAAAAGGAATGAAAGAAATTTGCCATGACCATTGTAATTAAACTGTGTTGATGGTACTGTAGTTGACTGCTATGGAACTGGTTATCAAGCAGCCATGCAGACCAGGAAATGCATTTTYTGCATAAGCTTAAACTTGGAGTCTTTTGATTAGCTACTGAATAGGTAAGACGTAAGGGAATGGTGCTTTTCTGACCTCTTGGTGAGGTTATTCTTGCTGTAATAAATCCTGTTTATCTGTGCCATCTTTATTCTCATCTGACCTTGATCAAAAATGACACTCAGTGGAACAATAGATTTTTAGTGAGCTTGACGCATCCGAGCTCCAGATTATCTTGGGGTGTTCAGCATTGCTAGGATGCTACGTAGAAGAGGTCTTGGGTTCTTTCTAATCCGTGCTGTCTTACTTCCAGCTCCAATACCAGTACATTCCCCTCAAAGAAGCACTAGAAATCATGCCTTGCTGGAGGCTGCAGGACCAAGCCATGTGGCAATTAATGCCATCTCTGCCAACATGGACTCTTTCTCTAGCAGTCGGACAGCTGCCCTTAAGAAGCAGCCAAGTCACATGGAAGCTGCTCATTTTGGAGACTTAGGTAAGGCCTCCTCTATTCTGTAATACAGTTGATGTTATTTTGTATTATCCGTTTGCTCACCCTGCCTTGGTTGAGGCAAGTAGCTTTGGTAATAACAAAATTATTGCTGCTATTACAGTAGCATTTTTGAATAGACAATTTGCTTGTTTCCTGTTCAGTGAAAAATGTTCCTTTATGTATAGCCATTGTGTTGTAGAAATTCTCTTGCTATCCTTTAAATTGTTGTAATAGGCCCCATTAAACAGCATATTTGGCAGACTCTGTAATGTAACCTGGTGTGGATAGTATTATTCTCTTGTGTGTTCATTCACAGTGCTCATAAAGTGGTGTTTTTAAAAGTTTATTTCCTAAAAATGTAATTAGTCTTTTGATCTCACTCTTGTAAAAGTGATGTGTGGAGAAGGTTTATTAAAAGAAAATGAAGTACACTATTCTTCAGAAATTGTTGGTGTGTCTCTGTGATAAACGCAATGTGTTTGTATCTGATTTTTAAGGCCTGTCTACCTGGGATCAGATTTCTACTTACATTTTAACAACACAAAATTACATAATACAAAGTTCTTTATTTCAAGAATGCAATCCTTAGAATCGTCTCTTCAGTAGTTGCATTCCAGGACGTTTTTGTATCAAATACCAATGCCTGTAGTGTAATATAGAGTCGTTCCCTTGATATTTTTCTTTAGGCAGATCGTGTCTGAATTATCAGGCCCAGGAGACCAAATCAAGCCTTTCAAAGACCCTTGAACAAGTTTTGCAGGACAATGTAGCCCTCCCTTATTTTATCCAGTTCATGGAACTCCGTAGAATGGAACACTTGGTCAAATTTTGGCTAGAGGCCGAAAGCTTTCACTCCACGACATGGTCCCGCATAAGAGCACATAGCCTGAACACAGTTAAGCAGAGTTCGTTGGCAGAGCCTGTGTCGCCCTCAAAACAGCAGGAAATCGAGTCGTCTTCTCCAACTGGATTGCTTGAAGAGAGACTGGACGATTCTAGCACAGTCCATCTGCTCAGGACCAAGCGAGTGGCTCCAGACAAGAGCGACAGAGCTGGCAGCAGCCAGAACCATGTGCTGTCAGGTCAGGAGAGCGCTAATACCAGTGTTCCCTCTCTGAGAAAACCTGAGACAGGGCCCCATTCTGTTCCAGCCTCTCAGCAAGAATCTTCCAAGCCTACAGTATCAAATAGAAACAGCCCCTCATCTGCACTAAAGGACTTGTCAGGAAAACTAATGAAAAGTAAGTGTCATGTATTGGTTTTCTCTAGAAGTGGTGGGATGGGGATGTACTGGTTGCTGCTTGCTTGTACATGAAGCTGCCTGGTGTCTCCTGTGTTCTTTGTGATTATTGTATACTGCTGGGAGGAGAAAAATAGTTTTGACAGTGGGTAATTCTGAATAAGCTAACGGTCAATTTAAGATCTATGTATTGTTTGTCCRCCTGGTTGCTTAAAAATAAGTTGAAGACACTTCGGAATCACTGTGTGTTTTGATAACCTTAGTTTACTTCTATTCTGATGTGAGTAGACCTAAGAAGTGATGATGAGTACTGCAATGTCYTGTTTTTTTTCCCCTCCYTTCTTCTCCCACTCCCCCATTTAGAAGTATTGTGGAAAATGTGGATCATGGTGGGGCTCAAAATYGAGGATTAACTTTCCATGGAAGATAAATATCCTGTATCATGTAAAATGACACAAGTTATGGTTGCRACAAGATTTGTAGAGATTTTGTGTGCAACGTACTCTTTCTGTTCTTAGATTTATTTGGTAGAGTTCCTCCCTTTGTAACTGATTTGTTCTCATTTGGAGTCCACCTCTTCAGAGGCTACTGGAAGTAAGGATGAAATTAAAATATTTATTTCTGATAGTAAGCTACATGCACAGTGACCTGTTTTCTTTACTCTGCATCTACTTAGTCCTTCCTCGTTTGTGAAAGCTTGCAGACAGAAAAGGAAATTCTCCTTTCTTCATATTGGTTCCTCTCGTTTGCCCAACTRTTTCCTTATGTTGCATCCCTTTCTCTTGCTGTTTGTCTCTCTTGTGTAGTTRGTTATCATACATTTCCACAGTATGTAACCTGAGCCACGAAGTATCTTAGACAAGCATGATGGTACTTGAATCATGAATAGCACCTCTGTGTTGCAATGTATGAAAGTACTGCATTTCAGGGAACTGGGGCCTTTCTGAGAAATCTGAAGTTTGGAGTGTAATTCCTTTTTTGTGTGTTGTCCTTAAGCTTCCCAACTCTCTTTTGAAAGATGACATGTAAAGGGTACACTGCAATCTTATTTTGAGCCTTGTTTTAAGATTTTTATTTAATTCCTTTGTACTGCAAATCCTCTTTATTACACTGGTGAAGATTAGAAATTGGGGACTTCRTCACAGCTTTCACTGTAAAGACGTTGCTGTTGGTACTGCGGTGTGCAGCTGAGGAGGAGTTCTGCTTGGTGGCAGGAAATGAAGAGTTAGGCTGCTTTATTCAGTCTTGCTAGTTGATTCTTCATGGGCTTATTATGACCTGGTAAAGAGAAAACAGTCATGGTAGTTTGCCAGCAGCAAAGTATTGACTATTGCACTTGAAARTTTCATGGGAAATAAACTGTCGCTGCTAATCAGATATTTGCTTTTCTGGAGAGCACGTTTGTTGCTCACTCTTTTTTAGACCTATGCCAGTGAAGTTAAAGCTTGATTCTGTATTTCCTCTTTGTAGGTATAGAACGGGACGCAGTTAGTACTTTTACCAAATATATTTCTCCAGATGCTGCTAAACCAATACCCATTACAGAGGCAATGAGAAATGATATTGTTGGTAAGAATATATACCATCTCCTACTTAAGAACCCTTGTTTCCCCATAAATATATCTCTAATACACCCCCACATACACATAAATGTATTTGTTGTCATGAATTTTAAAGTCAGTGGTAGAAGATAGTAAAATGATTGCAGAACACTTCCTTATGCTGATTTTGATAGTATAAARTCACATCGCAGATAATAATGCATCTGCACTTTCAATAATCCTGTATAAAATTCCCTGAAGAACTTTCACAGACGAATTAGTGAAAAACTCCAGGTGGCCATTGGATGTATTGCGATCCAAGTCTCAATGTAGTATTTTAGCCATAATACCATCATCCAGTTATCTGCAGTGCTATGGAAAATAGTGCTACTGTCTTTTAAAAGCTTTTTGCACAATCAGCCAACTGATTCTAGATTGAGATTCTAGATCTAGATTCTAGATTTGAACTGCAGTTTTCTCTTAACCTCTTGTCACTTGTGTCCTTCAGCTCATTAAAGCAAGTGCACATTAAAATCAATCTGATTTCTCTTCACAGCGAAGATTTGTGGGGAAGATGGTCAAGTGGATCCTAACTGTTTTGTTACAGCACAGTCGATAGTGTTTAATGCAATGGAACAAGAGTAAGTTGATTGAATGGTTTTGCTTCTCGTGCATACTGTCCATTTGGAAAACAAATCCATAAAAATATGTTCATGAAGACGTAACTGTATAGTAGCTTTTCTGTGCAGTCTTCTGTATTTTAAACTATCTTCRAGTGCTTCCCTCCAGATCCATTCTTTTGATCTTTAGCTGAAGTTTCGTCTGCTGTTACTATGTTCTTTATATAATTTTCATGATATTCATATACCCTATGTTGTCTTGCTTGTGTTTGTTTTGTCAGACTTAAGTTATATGAGGCAAAAACTATTTCTTCCTAAAGCCCCCGATGCTGTTGGCCCTTGATAACTTGTTCTCTCTGTGTGCAGGCACTTTAGTGATTTTTTGCGAAGTCATCATTTCTGTAAATACCAGATTGAGGTGCTGACTAGTGGGACTGTTTATCTGGCTGACATACTTTTCTGTGAATCAGCCCTGTTTTATTTTTCCGAGGTAAGTGTTAGGGGTGTGGATTTTATTCTTTTGCATTTTTTCCTTTCTATCAAGTGGGAAAGCATCTATGTCTTGAAGGTTTTAATAAAGATATCTTAGTGTAAGAAAGAGGTGTTTATTGCCCTGAGAGAAAACTCATTATCAGCTTCCTGTCTATGTGGAATTACTCCAAATCGTTGAACTTTTATACTATACTGTAGAATGAATATCAATGTATTGCTTCAGTTCAGTGGATAGTTTTTGATTTGCTTTGTTGAAGCTCTGACATAGGCTTCACAGTCTTGCCAAATGAAACTGTATCTTTGAAAGCCTTAGGCAAAGAGCTGTTATTTCTAACACTCTTACTGATAAAGAATAATCTGCTAGTTTTGCTTGGAGAGGTGATTGGAATGTGATAGATTAAACATAAAAGCCCACAGCTGCAGCACCCTGTATCTTTTAGGTAATCGTCTTTTAGTAGTAAAATACTCACGATGAAGGTCTGACAAGCCAGTATGGTTTGAAAATGCARGCTGGGAAGAATAGATGATAGATGTGTTCAGTGTAAGTTAAGCATAGCTTGAAAATGGGTTTTCTGCCTTTAATATGACACAAATAACTGTCGTATTTGGAAAGTAAACGTAACAATCACTAAGGAAAAGAGAGTTCAGTAGTTCATTTCTTTAACAAACTGGGCAGATTAAATCTGTCTACAGTGCAACATCTGAAAATTCAGAGTATTTTTATTTCCTGGTGACAATTTTATATAATTTATTTTAAATAGGAAGGAGCTGTCTGTGCTTGCTGTAGTGTCTTTCAAAAATTTCTACTTTATTTTCTTCTTTTTTTTCTAATTTCCCTCCTAGTATATGGAAAAGGAAGATGCAGTTAATGTTTTGCAGTTCTGGTTGGCAGCAGATAACTTCCAGTCTCAACTTGCTGCCAAAGAAGGCCAGTACGATGGGCAAGAAGCACAGATTGATGCTATGATTTTATATGACAAGTGAGTGAGTTCMAGAATTGTTTACTTCTGAAGCTGTAATTTTATCTTTGCATTTTTCTGTTGCACTGTGCAAAAAGCACTTTTATTTTTCAAATTGTGGCTTGCATTCCTGTGCTTTTGTCTTAACCGAAGCTGAAATGTCTGCATACACTGGAGGCTGCCATAATAAACAGGCAGCTGAAAAATCTTCCTTATGCATAAAGCAAAAATTCTTATAAATACTTTTGCGTGCTTAAGCAGAACTCAGAATTTCCATGAGTTGGTTGCTTGAGAACTAATGTTTTTTATCATATGATATCAAAATAGATGGGTAGTCATTTGGAAAAGCTTTAATGCTAATGGCAGCTCTGTAGCTGTAGAAAAATCTGAAGGTTCAGATACTGTTATCCATTTCAAGYGGCTTCCAGAGCTTTTACCACACAAAACAGGAGTCCTGCCAGGAAGAAAAAAGCAAGCCAAATAGTTCTATGTTTTAATATTTCAGCAGTGCTTTTGAGGGTTTATTGAGGATGGTGGTTTCTTTTATCTCTTTTTTGTTTTCCTTTTTGCCTCTATGTGTGTCAGCCTATCAATTATGCAGCTGAAGGCAGACATCAAAACTACTTCCAGGAAGAAGTTTGCTCTTAAGCTTAAGTGCCAGTTTGTCAAATTATTGCCATCGTAGGAAATAATAATTGGAGAGGAAATGAATAATTTCCTTTCATTTTCACCTCATCAGCCATCCCCTGGCTCCATCCACAAGCTATATTTTTAATGATGTGATTAAAAGAGCAAATGCCGCTTCAGTTCTGGGTACTTGCTGCTTCCTTCCCTATTACGAAGCACGTGTGTGTGCTCATCTGTTTTACCTGTATCTGCAGAAAAAAGCTTTATGAAAAGCACTTATTTCAGTGGATTTTGGATTGATAGTACCTGCACTTTTAAGCAGCACCATCTAGTGGCTGCAGCATGATTGATMATTCTCAGTGGGAAAAGATAAGTTACCGGGCACCTGGCAAATGTTTTCAAGGCTTGTGTTGCTTTCTCCCCCTATCCTGTGCTCTGCAGATACTTCTCCCTTCAAGCCACGCATCCACTTGGCTTCGACGACTCCGTGAGGCTAGAGATCGAGTCCAACATCTGCAGGGAAGGGGGTCCCCTCCCGAACTGCTTCACGACTCCCTTGCGGCAGGCCTGGACCACCATGGAGACGGTGAGATACCTTCTTGGGGCTGCTTTGGCTGCTCGGGGAAGACGATGGGGAGGTTCTGCTGTGTCAGGTATTCCCCTGCCAGGGTCCTGTCCAGTTAATCTTTCTGCTCTATAAGAGCTCTATAGTAATCACACAGACTGGCTTTGTTGATTAAAGAAGCCTTGTTCATCTGTCTCTCAGGTTTTTCTACCTGGCTTCTTGTCCAGCAACCTGTATTACAAATACTTGAATGATCTCATCCATTCAGTACGAGGAGATGAATTTCCAGGAGGAAATATTGCACTGAGCATTCAGGGCCCCACTAGCAATCCTGATAGTGACTCTCAGACGGGGGCCCCCGATGGCTCTGCCTCTCAGGTAGGAGATTCTTTTCTTGATTCTGTTTGAATAAATRGTGCAGTGTATTTAAAGAAAGAAAAGAGTAAAGGGCACTTTTCTCTATTGCAGTCCAAGTTTGTACCCTTTAAGGAAGCATCTTCTTGTGGTTTTAAGTTTCCCATTTCACTTTAGGATGCATTTAATGTGCTTTCTATTGATTTCAAGTAAATGGTATTTGGCATAGAAGTTATTTATTGTATATTCTGTACCTGAAGTCTTTTACCACTTTTACTAAAAACAAAACTTTGATTCAAGGAAATAAGCTATTAATACTAGCTAAAGACTGCTTTGCAGTACTGAAGCACTTAGAAATACTTTTCATTAGAAATAAGTTTGTTATTTCTTTAATAATATATTCTTAGGCAAAAGCTACACCTTTAGGCAAAAAATSACATTGTGAATATGCTGTAGAATTTAAATGTAAGTATGCAAATTGTGTGCACAATTTCTTGAAGCCACAGACCTAAAACCCTAGAACTGAGTTACCCTTCAGGACAGAAGTACTCTGCTTACACACAGAGCAATGACATTAGTGCCTGACCAGCTGGTGYTCGCAAGTTTGTCTCAGTAAGTTTTTCCATGCTGTAGTCCTCAAGCCAGTCAGTTACGTCAGTCTGATAGAAAATGGCCAGATTCCTGACTTTCCCAAAAGGCAGATGCAGCATTGGAGGGACAGTATCCAAATTTTGTTTGCCTATGTGTATTTTCCTGCAAAGCTGGGAATAAAGACTTAAAAGCCCATTGCTGGGTGAAGCAGAGAGCAGAGAGAGAACTCTGGGTACTCTCTTGGAAARATCCTGATGCCTGATAACCTGAACAGGGAAAAGCTACTGGGATCTGGCGTGTTTGGAGTGCTTAGGAGCAAAGTGCTGCATTTTTGTGCGCCACATTCCTGCTTATCTGCACAGAAAGGTCACTAGGTCTTTGTGATTTTTGCCCAAAGAGCACTTGGTGCAGACCAGCAGCAGAGGACTTCACAAAGCAGCTACTGTTAGTGTTTCTAGTCAAGGCTGCTCTCCTTTTCTGATCCTCYTGCTGTTACACTAATGTTTCCTGGTATTTTTTTTTACTAATCTCACCCAAATACTCTGCCAAAATATAAAGGCCTCTTCCCTGTATGGGGAGCACAGTGTGTTTCATGGGAGCCGCTTACCAGGTACACGGCAGGGACGGGTGCAGTTGCTGCTGCTTTTGGGATAGCTCCATGTTAATGCTCTCAGAAGCAAATAATTTGGTTTCTTACAAATCTCACACATCTCTTCAGCTGATAATGGGAGCAGAGAGACAGCAGTCTCTGCACATCTGGATGCTGACCTGCATGTTGTGTGTTGGCTCTGTTCACATAACTTTATCATCCTCCGTTTAAAAACAAYGTCATGCCGAGTTAGGAACTCATCACTTGTGTAGGGGTTCTCTTAATTTATGCTTGCATAGACACTTCAGAGATTTATCAAACTGTAAAAAAGCACTAAAATATATTTGTTAAGCTACTAGTTGTCTGCATTGGGCACTAATATTTAGAATTTTTGTTTGTAGTCCAATGTCAAAAAGGCTAATGTTAAAATCCTGAAAAATTTTGATGAAGCAATAATTGTAGATGCTGCAAGTCTGGATCCAGAATCCTTATATCAACGAACTTATGCAGGGTAAGGTTCATTCTGTGTACCTCGTTCTTTCCAATGTGTTTCACCTCTGTTTCATAGTTGTTGTGTCCTTCTGCATTGAGAGTGCACATAATACAAGGTGTTGCAATCTTAGCATGTGTCTAAATAGTTGAAAGTAAATGTTTTGTTTGTTTAGATTTTTCAAATAGTGTGATTTAATGCCAGTGTCATGGTGAATGACTTTCTGATGAGAACAGCAATCAGAAAAAAAAATATATTTCCAGTTGTTTTTCTCCTAGAAATCTTATTCTTCTCTGGCTCCAGAATCTGACTAGTAATTCCTGTTTGGAGTAGGAAAGAACGAGCTTGGAAGACTTTGATACTGTAATACAGCATTGATTTCTCCCTTCTCCCATATAAAGAAAAGTCTGTACTTCACTTTGCTAGCAGATTGCACAATTAGTCTTCTATTTAAGTTACTCTTTGATAGGAAACTCTTCTGCTCTGTGGATCTCAAACAGAAATTCTTTGTTTCTCGAGCTACCCTGCGTTTCTACTGCACAGCAGTGCGCTGTGCTTTCAAGCACTGCACAGTGGTGGTTCCCTGGTGAAACGTTCCTGTGATGCTGTAGGGCACTTGGAGCATTCCACGATTGAGTCATTGAAGTGCTTGCCTACTTTCAGGTTCTAGAAATGAGTTTAAGAATTTGGATAATTCAGATTTAAATTCAGATAACCAAGAGGAGTGGAAAACTCTTCAAAATGTACCAATCTTAAGTACAAAAGGTGATAATTGGTAAAATGCTAGTCTTCTGATACAAGAATCTTCATGGTAGTGAGGTTTTTTGTTTTGTTTGCCTTGTTGATTTATTAACTTTCTGTAATGCAGGCGTTTTCCTGGTAGCCCATGAATCTTTTTTATTTTCTCTTCAGGAAGATGACATTTGGGCGAGTCAGTGATCTGGGACAGTTCATCAGAGAATCTGAACCAGAGCCTGATGTCAAGAAATCAAAAGGTTTGCTTTCCTCTTTGATCTCTTTCTATAAACACCTGCAGAACTGTCCTTTTGCTCGCTTCAGACAGGATAAGCAAAACTCCTGACTCTTTCCAGACCTGTTTTAAGCCAGAGATGCTTAGGAGATTGTCCTATACTGAGGCAAACCCCATCTCTGACCCATTTCCATATCCAATGTGCTCCAGCGGGAGTTGGAGCTGTCGATGTTACCTGGCAGGGATGAAGGCTGTAAGCAGCTGAGCTGATGGTCAAACTTTTTAAGAGTTTGATCTCAAGATGAATAAAACTTCAGCCCTCTGTGTGCTTCCTGCGCACTTGGAGATCTGCTGGTAATGCTGCTTTTCAAGTCTGGCTTCTGGGAAAGAATGGTCTGGGCTCAGCTCCTAGTGAACCACAAGTCCTGGTAATGCCCTGTCTTTGTGACACTCCTCTGTATTCTCTAACCCTAGCAGTGCAAACCCTTCAGGACAGAAGCAAGTATGTGTTTACAGAGAAGTGAGATGTGCTGTGGAGTTTGCTAATGTTCCTTGTTTGCTGTCTATCTCAACTAGGGTCCATGTTTTCACAAGCAATGAAGAAATGGGTTCAAGGAAACACAGATGAGGTGTGTCCTTTTTATGCTCTCCTTGTGACTTCAGATTCAGGTTAGGGAAATGGAGCATTCAGGTGCTTAATCCTGCCTGTTTTCTCTGAATACGTTTCTGATACTTAGGCCAACCAGAGCTGCCCGTCTCTGCTTGCTAAATACAACTGAATTGCATGCCCTTGTGAAACCAGTTTGTTCTTTGCCAAGGAGCACTTCGTCAAAGACTTGGCTGGTTTAACTCATGTAATGGCTAACTGAMTGTTAGTTATTAGGGTAATCTAGTCAAGGGTGGAGTGTTCTTTTTTCCTTCTCTCCCTTTAAGAGAAGTAATCTGCAAATCAGAGTAGATGCACTATTGTTCTTTGTTTCTGGCTGTGAAATGACAGCTGCATGGATTTAAAGGCTCTGYTTTTCCCCTTCGGAGGGGCTTGGGCAAGTCCCTGAAAGGTAAAAGTGAAGACTCACTTGACTCTTTTGGAAAGTGGATCAAACTRTAAATACACCCATTAACTAAATGTAATGTTGTACTTGAAAACCTGCTGGATTTCCATCTAGAGAATGTTTACTRCAAGTCAGAGTTGTGAAGGTTCATCATGTGTGAAAGGTTTAGCCTGGGAATGATGTGTGGAGCACTATTTTAAGCACTGTATTAAGGGGTAATTTTAAGATCTTCAGCCCCTCTGCATTTGGGATGTGTTTTTTCCTCTGGCAGGCTCAAGAGGAGATGGCTTGGAGGATAGCGAAGATGATAGTCAATGACGTGATGCAGCAGGCACAATGTGAGCAGCCTTCGGAGAAGGCTACAAAGGTAAGAAGGTACACAGGCTACACTGTAGGATCAATATTCTCATCTCTTACTGAGTTTACCCTTGCTGTTTCATGTTGATAAATACTAGCCTATTTGTGTGAAGTATCATAAAACTGAAGAGCTAGAAAGTTGTCCTGTGGTGCTGTGTCTATCATTTAAAAGAGCTCGTGTAGCCCTGTTGATGGGCTAGCATGTTGACATTATGCATGGATGTGTTCAGTGACTTGGTTGTGCAAGTCTGTGTGACAAAACAGCTGTGATGCAGTAGTTGCATTCTGTGGAATCACGAAGACACCGGTCTGCAGAGTTGGCATCTGATGCTGCTTCTGGCTTGCAGACATCTCTAACATGAAATACAAAGAACCAACAAACAAAAAAAACTTGCACTTTTTAATTAAGGAATGTAAACATGTACCATAGCTCAGTGACAGGCCTGGACTGCTGGGTCTGTAATTTCACTCTGCAACTGTTTTCTAGAGCTGTTCTCWTTTAAAGACTTGTGCAATAATTTCACTTAATAGCACGCCACAAATAATATTCCAATCTGGCTAGTTGAAAAGGTCACTCAGCACAGTACATGGGAATATCAAGTGGCTGCACATACTCTCTATTCAATTAGGCAAATAGAGCTTCAGTAATGGAAAGGYTGAAGTTTGTGGGCTGTGGCTGGGGAGCAGGGCAGGTGTTTGGGGTGGTTTTTTTTTTTTTTTTTGCTTTCCCAAACTCATCACCTAACCTGGCTTTAAACATTTGCAAACACAAAATGTCTCTCTACTAAGTGACTCTCTTCCATGTTTTCGAGTAAAATGAATTCTAACCTTATTTTTTCCTCTTCCAGCTATGATTTTAAATGCCGGAACAGGAAATATAATTTTCTGCTTTGAGAACGAGTGAACTTTCCCGTTTGGTGGATTCTTTAACACAGCCAATAAAAGCAAAGCACTGTTACTACATAAGCCGGTATCTCCCTCATTTATAAGGAAGAATTAAAAAGAAGCAATCCTGTACCTCCACTGTAGAGAGCCAAGAAACACTTTGTCCTGTTGTGTAYGGCCTTCACAATAATGTTGGTTTTTAAGAGAGATGAAGACACAGTTGTGAACATGTCACTGAGAAACTGTGATCAGCTTCACAAATACTTGACCCTGTCTCAAAAAGACTTCTAAGCAAAATATCTGGAATGGGACACAGGCCACACCAAGGAGGGGAAGGTTTTGCTGTAGTTTCGAGTTCTACTACTTGTAATTTTTAAACACCTAATTGCAAAGGCCATGGGGATATCTCCCTGACACCTGACCACTGGAGAAGTGAACCTGAAGCCGCGAATTCATTGGCAGTGAATGACCTTAAACGTTCTAAGTTTTATTTCTCCTTACTTGAAATAGATGAGTATTCAACTGTAAGATAAATGTATTTTACTTCATAATTACATTAACGTTGAAGGGAGCGTAGAATGCTGAGGAGTGAAGCCTGGACAGTTTAACTCTTCCTCGTCAAGCGCTTACACACGTGCAGACGCCCCCATTGCCCTTCCTGTCACTGGGGACCCCCACGCTGATCTTCCCCTCGTGCAGCCCCCTCTTCCTGCACCCTTGCCCGATGCAGCCCCCTTTTCAGGAGGTTGTACCCGTGCTCTGCTCCCTGTTCTTCCTCATRCCACAAAACCAAGGGAAAATCAGCTGCTGCCCTTCTCCATAGCTTGTTGTCCTCCAACCAAGCTAGCATCTAATTCCAGATGTTTGGTTTATAAAGAAAAATAACTCCTAATGGCCTCTGGCTTATTTCCMCCTGATGTTGACACACTTGGCACTTGTGTAACCTTTAATTTGAGGAGAAAGTCACTGTGTCCCACAGCACCTCTCTTCTCTCCCATCAATTGATTTTTGCACAGTCTCTGAAGTACGTGGTGTGTCACTCCATTATTTTATGCCTACATTTTTAGTATACAACACTTCTATTTTTTTATTCTGCTCTTATGATTGTTCTTTTCCTCAAACTTGTGCAAAAAAAATCACTTTGTAACAAGCCCAATCATCCTCAATGTGCAAGCTGTGTTGATTGACTAGCAAGAGTTATTCTGTTGCAATATTTGATTGTATAGACACACTGTATTATCTATGAAAGCAAAAAGGCTGTGTATAGGTTTTTGGTACTATGTACCACCTCTTATTTCTCTCATGCCCAAGTATTCATGTACTTAAAACATACTCTATTTAATTGTGTTTTGATTTAAAATATATGAATATTGAAATTTGTGTCAATTTTCTGTTGTGAGGGCGATCTTGGTGGTTCATAAAGGAAGAACCCCCGAACCCTCCTTGCTTGCTCGTTGCTGTGGGAGGAGCTGCTGCCCCTTGCGCTCGTGCTAAAACGACACGCGTGGAAGGGCCGGTCAGGGGGGGAAGCGGGTCTCGAACCCGCGGCCCCGGGGGCGCCGCTCGCCGCCGCCGGCCGCTGGGGGCAGCAGCGCCCCCCGCGCGGAGCGGCCGCTTCCGGCGCACGGGCGGCGCCCGCACATGGCCGCGGTGAGCGGGCCGGGGCGCGGGGCCGGGGCGGCCGCTTCCCCTGTCCCCCGTGGGCTTCCCTGTGCGCTTCCCCGTGGGACATCCCTATGGGACCTCCCTGTGCGCTTCCCCGTGGGACATCCCTATGGGACCTCCCTGTGCGCTTCCCYGTGGGACATCCCTATGGGACCTCCCTGTGCGCTTCCCYGTGGGACATCCCTATGGGACCTCCCTGTGCGCTTCCCTGTGGGACATCCCTATGGGACCTCCCTGTGCGCTTCCCCGTGGGACATCCCTGTGCGCTTCCCTATAGGGCGACCCTTATCCCCCGTACCCATAGGGAAGGTCCCTGCCCGCGTCCCCGTAGGGTGCCCTCTGTCTCCCCACCCCCCATATCGGGGTCCCTGCCTGTTTCCCCATAGGGTCCCTATCTAGCTGATTCCACTATAGGGTGCCCTCTGCCTCCCCCCGCCACGTGGGGTTCCTCCCCTCTCGCTCTATAGGGTGTCTTCTGCCCCCTTCCCTATAGGGTCCCCTGCTTGGTTCACCTATAGGGTGACTGAGTCCCCTCCCACATGGGGGTCCTTCCCCTGTAGGGTCCTCTGGACCCCCCACCCTGGGGCTCCCCCGTGGTGGCTCCTTCTCCCGCACTCCCCGCGTGGGAGGAGGACGTGGGGCCCCGTGCGCGTGGTGACCCCCTCGTCCCGCAGGCCATGTCCCCGAGCGAGGACGCGGAGCGGCTCCTCATCCAGTTCAAGGACGAGGCCGGCGAGCCGCTGGGCTCCCCCTTCGACGTGCCCGTGGCCATCACGCCGGACAAGCTGCAGCTGGTCTGCAACGCTCTGCTGCAGCAGGTGAGCGGTGCCGGGARCACGGGGACATGGGGGACATCAGGACACGGGGGACACAGGGACGYGGAGCCGAGCTCCCGGCCCGGCTGAGCCGCTCCAGCGTCCCCGCTGCCTCCAGGATGACCCAGTGCCTTTGGCTTTCTACGTGCACGATGCYGAGATCGTCACGTCGCTGGAGAAGACCCTGGCGGGGCAGGCGCTGGAGACGGAGAAGGTGCTGGACATCGTGTACCAGCCGCAGGCCGTGTTCAGGGTGCGCGCGGTGACGCGCTGCACCAGCTCGCTGGAGGGACACACCGAGGCCGTCATCTCCGTGGCCTTCAGCCCCACGGGAAAGTAAGAGCTGGCYGGGGTGGGGTGACAAGGCAGCCATCCCGCCCGGGGACACCCAGCCCGGCTCCTTCTTGCACAGGTACCTGGCGAGCGGCTCTGGTGACACCACCGTCCGCTTCTGGGACCTCAGCACCGAGACACCACAGTTCACGGCCAAAGGTGGGTGCAGGGGGCGAAGGAGCAGAGGGAAACGTGGGCGCTGGGTGAGCCGCGGAGCCTGGGAGCGCGGGGAGCGGAGCGGCTCCAGCAGCGGCTCCGGCTGGGGAAGCACCCAGGGCTCACGCCTGCTCTCCCCGCCAGGTCACCGGCACTGGGTGCTCAGCATCGCCTGGGCGCCCGACGGCAAGAAGCTGGCGTCGGGCTGCAAGAACAGCCAGGTGCGTCGGCCCCTGCTCCCCTGCCGAGGGGCCAAGCGCGGCGGGTCCAGCAGGATCGGGGGGTTGTGGAGCCCCATGCCGGGGATCCCCGCAGCCCTGTGCTGGGCTGAGATGAAACGTATCGAGTGGGCGCTGGGGCGAGAGCTGAGGCTTGTTCTGTCCGGCAGCAGGAGGGAGGGATGTTCCCTGTGCCCCAGGCGAGGTGTCCCGTGCGCCATGGGCAGCACATGGCTGTGGTGCTGGTACCGTGGGAGCCTTTCCAGCCTCTCTGGCACCCGGAGCTGCTGCCCCACCATTAGGCAAACCTTTGGAAGGGCCGTGTGGCGGTGCCGAGTGCTGCCCCTCGCTGTGGCCGCTCTTCCTTTTGCACGGGAAAGAGTCCAGGCTTTGGACGTGCTCCCTGGCAGCCGGACACGTCACGAGGGAGGTGTCTGGAGCGGGAAGGGGCATCGCCCGGSCAAACCGGAGCTGCTCTTTGCCTGACCCGGCTGCCGTGGCCAAGGCCCCGCTGTGGGGTGGGCCCGTGGCTGTGTCCCGACCACGCTGCCCTTCCTGGGAGCAGGAGCAGGCGCTGGCAAGAGCCCCATGGCCCCAAGGACACCCGAATCCGTTCAGAGACGAGGGGCAGGTTGTGCGGCAGCGGCGGCTCGGGCAGAGCGCAGGGCAGCGCGTCTCGTGCCTTGGGAGACGTCGGCCAGTTGCTGCAGGGCCCTGCAAGGGAGCCCGGCCTGCCCTTTCCCATCCTTGCTCTGCCAGCTCAAATCCTGGCACCGCGGAGCCTGGGGAGGCCTCTGCCCGAGCCCGCTGGGGTGCACGTGGTGCACGGCCTGACGTGACCCTCTCGCCTGCTCTCCCGGTCAGATCTTCCTCTGGGATCCAGCCACGGGGAATCAGCTCGGCCGGGTGCTCGCCGGCCACTCCAAGTGGATCACGTGGCTGTGCTGGGAGCCGCTGCACATGTGAGTTCTGCGTAACCCACTGTCAGTCCGTGCCTCAGTTTCCCCTGTGTATAAGCAGGATAACCTGCCTATGGAAGACGCTCCGTGTTTCCATTGTGCTGGGCAGGTATCAGCCCGAGTTTGGCCCCTGCCCAACGCTCCCTCTCTGCCCTCCTGCATCCTTGTTGCCTCTGTYATCTGCTTGATTTATCGGGAGGGCTGATGAGCCGTGCGGTCGCCTTATCCCTTTGATCWGCTAAAGCTCTGCCTGGGAATGATGAGTGGAGGGGGCAAGTTGCAGCTAATAATCCAAGACATTATAGAAATAAAGAARGGCCCCTTCGGAGCAGAGCCCTGCAAATCGAATTCCCCAGCAGGAGACTCCAGCTCTGGCAGTTAACTGGGTTAGCGAAAACTGATTACCAGGGAGCATGAGGAAATGGAGAGGGGGGAGACTTTCCTCCTGAGGAGGGTTGTGGCAGATCCGAAGCCAGGAGGGCAGGTCTTGTATGGAGCTCTGGCCCCTCGCAGCCCCTGGGGGCTCCGTGGTGGGAGCTGCGCGCTCTGCGGCTGCCCGTGCCCTCCTGTGCCCCCAGAAATCCCGAGTGCCGCTACCTGGCGAGCGCCTCCAAGGACGGCAGCATCCGCGTCTGGGACACGCTCATGGGCCGCTGTGACAAAATCCTCACGGGCCACACGCAGTCGGTGACGTGCGTGAAGTGGGGCGGAGACGGGCTGCTCTACTCCTGCTCGCAGGACAGGACCATCAAAGTGTGGCGGAGCCAGGACGTGAGTGAGAGGGGCGGCCGAGCAGGGTCCTGGCTGCCCCGGGCGGCGCTGCCCACGCGGCCGTTTCGCTCGCAGGGCGTCCTGTGCCGCACGCTGCAGGGCCACGCGCACTGGGTGAACACCATGGCGCTCAGCACCGACTACGTCCTCCGCACGGGCGCCTTCGAGCCCGCCGACGCCTCCATCAACCCCCAGGACGTGAGCGGCTCCTGTGAGTTCGGAGGCTGGGAGAAGCGATGGGAGGGACGGGAGCTCCGGAGCGCGGGGAGGACACCGCTCTCCGTGGTGGCATCGCCGCTATTCCAAATAGCCCCTCTTCCCCCTCTCCCTTTCCCTCTTCCAGTAGCGGAACTGAAGGACAGGGCGCAGCAGAGGTATGACCAAGTCAGGGTAAGTGTGCACCGCCAAGTTGCCTCTTGAATTTTATTTTATTGATAGAAGCACTAAATGGGCCCCGTTGGCTGTCGACCGCAACACTGGATGTGATTAGACGAGCTCTCCAAGCCTGGCCTGCTCAGGCTGAGGCTCTTTCACGCCTTTCTCAGGGCCAGGGGCCAGAAAGGCTCGTCTCGGGGTCCGACGACTTCACGCTGTTTCTTTGGAGGCCGGCAGAAGACAAGAAGCCGCTGGAGAGAATGACCGGCCACCAGGCCTTGATCAACCAGGTGCTCTTCTCCCCGGACACCCGCATAATTGCCAGCGCTTCCTTTGACAAGTCCATAAAGCTCTGGGATGGTAGGACTGGAAAGTGAGTGTCTTGTGGGGTTACAGGTGTGTACTGGCACGGTGTAAACACCTTGTTTGAACACCATCACCTTCGGGGTGATGCAGATCTTTCCTGTGGGTGCAACGGGTGTTGTTGGTGTTTGGATGCCCCTGTAGTCCAGGCTTTAACCTCCAGCTGGGCCATCGCTGAGCCCTGTGGGGCAGCAGTCCTATGTTCTACAGCTGTAATTAGTAGTTGGTGACTTAGTGGCCTTTCTGAATGCTGCAGGAGYCCGGGCATGTGTTTGCTCCAGGAGGGAGAGGAGGGACAGGCCTGTACCATAGGGCTAGAAGGGTTTGTCAGGGGTGATGTGAACGGTTTGTCCTCTCGAAGGCCTCATCTCAGAAGGCTTCTAGACAGTCCAGACCCCCAGCGATCGATTGCCTGCTGTGTACAAAGCCATGMTCCTGTTTGCTGGGGCTGGATGGGAAAGGTGACGGCAAGGGCAGGTTGGAAGGCTGGAAGGTGGGCAAGGGCTGGTTGGAAGGCGCTCGGCCGCCCGCTCCTCCGGCAGCTTCTCGGGGCCTCCTTGGTGACAGGTACCTCACGTCGCTGCGAGGCCACGTCTCGGCCGTGTACCAGATCGCCTGGTCGGCCGACAGCCGCTTGCTGGTGAGCGGGAGCAGTGACAGCACGCTCAAGGTCTGGGACGTGGGGACGAGGAAGCTGGCCATCGACCTGCCCGGCCACGCCGACGAGGTGGGACGGGGGGCGAGCGGAGCCGCCGCGGAGAGGCGGGAGCCCCCCTTGAGCGGTGGCACAAATAACGGGGCCTCCCTCCCGTACCAGGTGTTTGCAACAGACTGGAGCCCGGACGGGCAGCGGGTGGCGAGTGGAGGGAAGGATAAGTGTCTGCGCATGTAAGTATCCCACGGCGTCCCTGGAGYGTCGTGACCGCTCCGGGCGCCCTCCGGAGCCGCCGTTTCCTTGCGGAGGCCTTCCCGGCTGGAGCACCGGAGGCTCCCAGGGCTTTCCCTGCAGCTCTTTCCCTGGCTCCGTCCTCACGGCTCCATCTCCTTGCAGATGGCGCAGGTAGGAGCAGCGACCGGGAGCCGTCTCCGCTGGCCCGGCCTCCAGCTCCGTCTCTCCGGGGAGCTCTGGGAAACGGCGGAGGACGGAGCCTATCCCGAGCACGTCTCCCATCAGCCACTCTCCCTCATGGATTCTCTCCTTATATTTATTTAAGGAAATTTTAATTCTATTYCTTACCAAGAGCTGTGCGTTGCAGAGTGATCTGCTCTGAACATTACAGCAGGGATATCTCATCTGCCTCCATCTCAAGCTGCTTGTTATTGAAATTGCTGCCTTGCAGTAGCTCGCCTCCTTTAAAGGGAAAAGCCAAGGGTGGGGGCGGCTCATTCCTTTTCCCTTAGGAAGGATCCTGCAGGAGGAAAGCCTTTAGTGAGAGCAGAAAAGAGTGTCCTTGTGTGACATTCAGAGGGGGAGAGAGGAAGGRGAAAACGCAGGGAACGGGATTGATAAGGAGCAGAGATTTTATTATCAGGTTTAGTTACAGCAAGTTGGCGTGAGGACCAAGACATCTTCGCAGCCCTCGCTCTGAGCTTGATGCTAGTGGCTCATTCAGCTCACACCGGGCATTTGGTGCTCAGGTGTTTCCTAGATGCAAAAAAACCAACATTTTAGGACTTCGAGCTGGCAGGATTGCTTTGGAGCACGAGAAGGGATGGGCAATAATGATGTTAATGGCTATTTGCTCGTCTGCTCTTCAGACAGTCCTGTGAGCAAGACTGGAACAAAGGGATACCCCTTCGGTGGGATTGGGAAGACAAATTCGTGGCCGTTTTGGTGGCGGTGACACCTTTATCCACCAGCCCGATGAGCTGGCTCTTAGTGGGTTCTTTTGGGAAGACACTACAAAGCTTTTCCAAAGCAAAATCTTGGGCAAAGAGATGGCCTGGAAGGAAGTGTGCCACAAAGCACACTTAACATCCTTGTTGGCTTATTGCCTGAGAGGAGACTGGGGAGGAAAAAAAGGGTTGGATGTACAGAAAGAAAATGAATGTCTATTATTCAGCATGAGCTTTAGGGAAGTCCATGCTCTCTCCCCGTGTGTTGGGGCAGCTGGGCACCCCTCAGGGGCAGTTTGTGCCTCAGGAGCAACCCTGTTTTGCAAAGAGCAATAGCGTTTCCAAGGATAGAAGCTGTTGTGGAAACTCAAAGCTGACGCCGCTGTCCTGAGGAGCTGCTGCCACATGACAGGATCTCTTAGAACCCTGTGTGCTTAGACGAACAACCGGGAAGGTGCTAATCTTCTCCCAGATCCATGGCGATCCTGAGCCCGGGTTGCAGCTGAGGAGCTAATTTGGCTGGGCCAACATCGCGTGGCAGGAGCAGCAAGTGCCTCCCTGTCCCCCCTCGTGTTCCTCAACTATGAAGATTGGTGGCTCCTGCTGAGCCGCGGGTCTCCAAGGGCTGTATAATTGGGTGGCAGCTCTTGGACATTAGGGAAAAACAGTGTGTGCCACCCTCGCCGTGCACTGGGATGCTCCCTGCGGTCTCTTGAGCCCCAGTACCGGCTTTTAGAGGTTGCTCTGCGCTTTATGGCTGCGTCATGTGGCGCTTTGGAGCGTCTGCACCAGCCTTTGTCTTTCCAATCCCATCCCTCCGTTCCCGCTCAAATCCCAGCACTACGGCATCGCGCTTAGCTATTCCGGTCCACCCTCCCCGCTGTTTTATCCTTGCTGTGCCCAAGCGAAGCTGCTCGAGGGCTCCGTCCCCGCTGCGAGGACAAAAGGACATCGGATGCGCTGCTGCCGAACGGGAACGAGTCTGGATTCTAAACCACAGTGCAGAATGGGGGGCTTGGATTAGAAAATCCTGGACTGGCTTTCCCGGTTCAAAAGGGAGCCATTTGTACAGCTTTTAGCTCCAAAATGCAGCTTTGGGCTGGGGATATATGGGAATTAACAGCGAGCATGAAAGGCAGTGGATGGGAATRAGCAGCCAGCTCTCCGGGGGGAAATATTCCCCAAAAATGGAATATTAAACTCCGGAGTGGGCTTGGATTTGTGGGCTTTTTTTCCTGGGTTTAAAGGGCTGCAGCAAACACATGCTGGAAAGACCTTGCAGCACCTTAATTTATGATTAACCCAAAACACTTTCACATCCCATTTACCCTTTCCACGGTGTTCCTCTAAGCTGCTGAAATCATCTGCTCAGCTTTGCGCCCTCAGCTTTACCTGGTGCCTTAGGGCTGTGCAGCACTTTTKGGAGAGAGGCTCAAAACTTGAGAAAATAAAGCAGGGTGGGGGGTTAGCCRTATTATTATTATTTGTTTCCTCTGGTTCAAAGCCCTTTGGTTCTATGATATCAAAGAGGTTTCTTAGCCTTTCACTGATGCCCCCATAGGACTCAGAGCCTCCAGTGCCCTCCACGGAGCTGCTAATTCTCCTGCCGAGTATTTTTCTGCCCAGATGCCCCAACTTATCCAGGGCACCAGGGATAGAGAGGGTGGAATAAAGTCAGTCTGGCTACAAGGAGAGGGAGCTGGGCATGTTCATCCTCTTCCATTTGGCACATGCTGCTCCATCGCCTCCCTGTTTCCCAAAGTTCCCCCAGGGTCCGGGCAGTGGGGATGGCTCCGGTGGCCCCCAGGGAACAGGAATGGCCCTGGGAAGCCGAGAATGGCCCTGGAAACCCATGAATGGCCCTGGAAACGCGGGAGCGGCTCCGCCGGCTCCCATGGCCCCTGCACCGGGACGGGGCCAAGATGGCGGCGCGGGGTGAGGCGGGTAACGGTCCCGGCGCGCGGAGCAGCCGCGCCCAGCACCTCCGCCGGGTTAGCCAGGGTGACGCACTCTTTGGCCGCCGGCGGAAGCAGCCGCGTGCCGAGGCCTGCGCGCTGCGGCCTATAAAAGGCTGGGGGCGGCGCAGAGGCGCGGGCAGTGGGAGCCGCGGTCGGAGGGTGCGGGTGGCTCYGCAGCGGCCTCGGAGCGGCGCTTTCTTTTCCCCCGTCACCCGCGCCCTTGATCCGCTTTCCTACCGCTTCCTCCATCCCGGGGAGCGGCGCAGAGGGGCCGGCGACCGCCCGCAGCACCCGGCCGCTGGCTGGATGCCCCGGCGCTCGGTGCCTGAGCGCGGCCGCGGGGCCATGGGGACGGGCCGCGGCGGGGCGCCGAGCCCGCTGGCCCGCTGAGCCGCGGCCGCCTCGTCCCGCCATGGGCGCCGGCCCCTGAGAGAGGCTCCGGCGCCACCTTCACCCTCCCCATGCCCCACGGCGCCCCGGGCCTCGCAGGCGCCCCGCAGCAGCCCGGCGGTGGGCGGCCGCCCCCGCGCTATGAGAGCAGCGGCCCCCGCGGCTGGGGGCAGCCACGAGACGGGGCGCGGGTGCCCGTGCCGCCGCCGGCTGCCGTGAGGCGGCTCTAGCCGCCCGCAGGAGCCGCTTTGTCCGCCCGCCCTGCCCTGCCCTGCCCTGCCCGGGGGCTTCATGCCCGCCTGAAGCGGGGTGATGGAGGCGGTGGGCGACTTTGAGTACAGCAAGAAGGACCTCATCGGGCACGGCGCCTTCGCCGTCGTCTTCAAGGGTCGTCACCGCAAGGTAAACGGCGCCGGGCGGGCTGCACAGCTACCCCCCCCCCGCTGGGTGTGGGGGGGCAGGGTGTTTTGGGGTGATTCCTTGTGATTTGGGTGTTAACAGTGGGGAAAAACAGGGGTGCGGAGGTGGGGGGTAGCTGCTTCTGGAGGGGCCAGGCCCCTGCTGCCTCCTTGAGCCTTGGCAAACCTATTAATAACGATCGTTAACTTATTGTTTTGTACAATCGTCCTAGTTTTGTTATTATTTTGGTTTTGAAGGGCCCCGGCTGCGCGTCGCGCTGCTCGCTCGCSTGGCGGCGGCTGCGGATGAGGCCGAGCCCTTTGTTCGGCAGCGGGGTCATGTTTGTCTCTGGGTAGCGAGGGCTCTCCCGGAGACAAAACATATATGTGTATGTTCGTAATAATAAAACCAAGGTCTCCTTTGGGATGGGATGGAGGTTTCCCAACTCGCAGGTGTCCCCGTTCCCGGCCTCGCCGCCTTGGATGTRCATAGCGAGGCGCGGGTTGCACCGGGATGCCTGAGTTTATTTTGGTGTCTGTGTCCGGGAGTGCTCCGATTTTCCCCMAAAATCACTCAGGAGCAGCAGGGCCATGACCCAGAGGGCTGTAGTATGTGYGTGTCCCTTTTGGGACAAAAACTAAAGCGTTTGGAACCCAAAAGCCAGTGGAGACGCTTCCACCTTGCCAATAAATAGACTAGCTATTTTTAAGCTGTTTTTTTTTTTCTGTGCTGTTTTCGGTCCAAGTGTGTAAGGGTGTGAGGAAGCTGCAGCTAGGATGTCTTTGAGGAAGAGCAGAAGTATCCTCATGGTTGAGAGGGGACCAAAAAGCCACCAGCAYGCTGCCGGAATGGCATTTTTGCCATTCACCATGGCAATTTTTGCTATTGGCCACTATTTTTGCTTTAATAATTTCTTCAYGGCTTCAGAGTCAGTGGAAATGGGGTGTATCTGGATTCTGGTAGCTCTAAACTATTGAGGAATGGAGCGGGGTTCTTTGTGGTGATAGCTGATGTAGGAGTAAGGTAGAGCAGGGGTGATCTTGCTGCATTTCCTCCAGTGCTTCACTAGCTACCTGCTAGTGGATAGTGTTAAAATGCTTAAAGTTGACCGTGATTTTCTTCTTTATTTGCAGAAAACTGATTGGGAGGTAGCCATAAAGAGCATTAACAAAAAGAACTTGTCAAAGTCACAAATTCTGCTTGGGAAAGAAATAAAAATCTTGAAGGTATGTTCCTTTGCAGTTTCTAAAGCTGCTTTACTTTTAAAAGGAAGAGAGACTTCTGACCTAGTTCATTCAGGGTCATGGGTGATATCACCATAATTGCTATCCTACCTCTTGTTTCTTTGTTCCAGAAGATATTCAGAACTGAAAAGACCCAGAAGAGAGACTTTTTTTTTTTTTTTTTCCTTTTCAGGACTAGTGTCAGGACTGGTTCAGGTCATGATTTTGTAGATCCAGTTGAAAACTGTTGCAGAGACCATTTCTATACCACACGTGGAAAACTTTGTCCTTCAGGATGCTTAGTCTGGCATCTTACCTGAGCAGTATATGTGGCAAAAGTCACAGCTGAGGCCAAAATATCAATCTTTGATCTATCTTTATCCKTCTTTGTTTTTTTTCCAAAAGTGACTTAAAAACTAAACTTGGCATGCTGAACTTTCCATTTCTGAGTTAATTGACTTAAAATGTGTAGTGTTGGTCTAACAAAACAGGGCAGCGTTTAGTTCTGCCCTGTTTTCCGCAGAGTGCCTCTGTGGATGTTCTCTGAACATCACAACATTTCATTTGCTGTAGCTTTGTGGTAATTTTTAGTGTTGCTGTCTTCACGTTTCTTGAGACACATCACTGTATTATATTCTAGAAATTCTGGTGTTGGTTAAGTTAGTGTGCTGCAAGTACTTGGCAGAGACAGTTTGAGCAGTTGCAAATCATGTGAACTGTTGTGCAAATTTTATTTGGTGTTATTTGCCATTTTATGTAAAATGGGAATGTTGACTTGAAAATGTGATTGATTTCTCCCCTAAGCAAGAATTGTGTGAAACTGCAAAATTAATTTTAGCTTTCAGTGCTCATCTAAAGATCTTGTGCTGTGGTACTTGCTATAACAAGRCATTGCAAAGAAATTCTACTTTGTTCTCCTATTATTGTCTAAATAGCTGAGTGTTCTTCCAAATTTCATCAGATGGCTAAAAAAAGGATGCTGTCATTCTGTGTAAAAATTGAGTTTTCTATCATCATTTGGCATATTCAATTTAAAGAATCATAATAATGAACTGTTTCTGTAATATAAATATTTTGTTTTGCAGGAACTTCAACACGAGAACATTGTAGCTCTCTACGATGTCCAGGTAAACTATATCCTGATGCCTTTCCCAACCTTAAAATGTATTTAGGAAATCATACCGCGTATGTAGGGCGAGTACAAATAGGGAAACGGCGTTTTTTCTTAAGAAAAAGAAAATCCGGTTCCTTAGCAGCAGCGCGGGATGTTCTCTCGCCCTGAGCACATCCCGCGCTGTGTGATCTTGGCTGCTCCTCAGAAGCAGGTGCAGGGTGGCGATAGGAAGCCGCGAGGAGGCCGGTCCCCTTCCTGGCAGCAGGGACGAATGAGAGGCCGGGAATCTCTGCAGAGGCTGTTTGTGCAGTCTGGTCCTGTCCCTGGAGAAGGAGCATCAGCTGCCTGGGCTGGGCGCTGGCGGGGGCAGCAGCTCTTCRGAATTAGCCTTGTTTCTGTGGCCCTGTAATTTAATTGGGAAGTGGGTGTTTGCGGATAACGAGGGAATACACCCGGAGGAAAATGTACCGGTAGGAGTGGATCTGAAGCAAGTGATGTTATGAAGATAGAACTTTGTGGAGAAAAGACAAAAAGTAGAAAAGGCCTTTGAAAAATCCATAGATAAGAAATGTGTTGTGTAGCTCTGTGTCACCGTGAGGAAGGACTGAAGGAAGTAGAAGGATGTGATCACAYGCGTTTGTTACAGTTTCTTTGTTGGTTTTTGTTTTTGTAACTCAAGGCCTGTTAATGTTGAGYAAAGCTAGATACAAGATGATGTGAATTGTGCAGCCCTTCTGCTTGAGTAAGGGCTATACATTTATCTCCTGGGCTCCATTCTAATCTTAAATACAGAGTCACATTTATGAATAAAATTATGAAGAACAACCCTTGGGGCACTGCRTAGTTAGATCAGTGTAAAATAGACATTTCAACATTCTACAGTGCTTTTTTAAGACACTCTGCCTGTGTCTTAAAAGATTTTCAACTTGCACATAGATGTTTATCTCCAGATATGGAAATCAGTGTTCACACCAGATAGACCAGGTTTTATTGTATATAACACTACAGGATGTGTAATAACATCTGTTGACTCTTAGTATAATTAATGGTGTTGGTGTTGTAATGGGTTCTGCGTGAAAGCTTCCTGTTTGGGTGTGTAGCCTCTTCTTTCTTTGTCTTGACTTCAGAATTCTGCATTTTGAGAGATATTAGCTGGTGGGGGGGAGGGGGGGGGAATAAAACCTCTTGTGCTCCTTAAAGGCATGAAACTTTCCTGAGATGCTAAATGGAAATAATTTCTCAGCATCCTAAATATAGTATATCCAGACATCTTAAGAGAAATGACAGTTGCTGACTGAGGGTGTTGGTGTGTGAGTAAGCAGCAGACTTTGTCATTTATCATTTACAGTCGTCTATATGTAAGATTACTTATTAAGCTTTGAAGCTTAACCTGAAGGCAGTTGTCTTGGTATGATGTGTTTTGTTGACTTAATGTCATACGTCATCTAACCGTAAGCCTTGAAGATGGTCTTGCTGCTTTTGATTTGTGCACTGAGAATCCATTAGGGAGGAGGGGATGGAGTGCTACGCTTATCTGTGATTTCTTTACATAAAGGTTATTTAGAAACATAACCTCTATACATACCTGTTCTGCTACAGATGAAAGAGTGCCCTTAATGTCAATGTTAGACTTGAGACTTGAGTGATTAGGCCTGTGTTCTMTGCTTGAAAAGGGGATGTCCTTGCTTATTGCTAAATGCTGCACTTAAATGCAAAGAGTTGCAGCAAAGAGAAGGAAAAGTGTCTCAAATCTTGGATATATTTCAAAGGCATTCGTAGCAAATATAAAGCTTGTCAGTATGATGCTACTTCTGTACAAGAAATTACTTTGCAAATACAGTCTAGAGAATGTGACACTAGCACAAGTAAGTCTTTCTTTTTCTACATAGGGCTATGTTTGTGAAATACTATATCATTAACTTGTGTGATTACATTAACTTATAACCCAGCAAGAACGAACACTATGCAAGCCCATGTCTGGTAGTCTAGTACACCTACTAATTTTCTCTAGGATTTCATGTTCAAGCATGTGCTGTGCTTTTTGTTGTCATAGTATTGTGAACACAGAGATATTTTACAATAGATAAGACTTTGGGAATTCAAACAATTTTTAAGCGACGAGCCCTTTTTTTCCTCTCCATGCTGCAGCCGGTAGAGTCTGTCACAGTAGGGAGTTCTCAGTGTGACTGGCAGTCTGTCCTGTTTTTATAGTTACGCTGGTCTGATTTTTTTTTCTGTCATTGCTATTTTTGTTTTTTTAACCTTAGTTTGAAATTGGAAAATGGCCTTGTTTCAGATACACTATTAGCAGACCATTTAACTGAATAATGCCCAGTTGTTTGCTAAGTGCTCAGCTGGGAAAGTGGGTGCAGAGTGTAAGTGACAAAACCACATAAAAAAGTGTAAATGAATTGTAATGAGAATAAGTATTTTACATCCTTTGTGGTATTACGTGAGGTTACTCTTACGTATTCGTCGTACTTTGAGATAAAAGCTGTATACTTATATAGCATTTTAGAATATATATTTTAAGTTTGAGAATGAAAGCATAGTTAATGTTTTACATATTGCAGGAGCCGTCATTTTGAATTGTGTTCACATAAGGTGGTTTCACATTTTCCTCCTCTTCCATCTCTGTTCATTTATGGTTGTCACCTTATTGCATGATCTGTGATCAGTTGCACAAGTCCATGTAATAACAACATATGTGCCATTAGGAGTAGTAATTAGATCTAAAGAGATCTCTGAGCCATGCTGCAGATAGTGAGTGAACCTTTAAAAAACCTTCTCTGCTGCTGCTTCAGCTGGCTACAAACCCCGCCTTGATATATGACTTTTAATAAGTATGACCTCCACTGAGTTAAGTTTCCAAAATGCCCATTCACTTGGAGACGTCTCCACAGGAACTGGTAAGCCATTAGTGTTGCCTATGAATGGGTTGGAACTAAAGCCTCTTGGACGGATGTCAGTGCAATAATTGCCCTTGATTTCCATCAGGTGGTTCATGCAGAGCTGGCAGGTTTGCTCTGTGCTCACGTTTTTCGGTGAGCACCGAGGATCCCTGCTGCTTGTGCCACCTCGGAGCTGCTCTTCTGAGACAGAAAACTTGTGGAGACACTTAAATAGGAAGTTTCCAAATGTTTTGCAGTAGCAGGACTCTGAAAAATAAATACATGGAATTTACCTCTAAAGGTGAAATCATTTTTATTAGGTGAAATTTAAAAAAAAAAAACAGAACATAATAGATGGTTAGCAAGACATAAGCTGTGACTTCTTGTGCAAGAGTTTGGTATTCTTTCATTCCAAAATAAATTCCTGTAACACTAAAATGGTAGGAGWGTGTGTKTGTATATATATATTTACACATACATACATGTACAAAAATAGATATGGCTCTCGTGCTCTGGTAATGCTATGGGATATCATTAATCTTGCAAAGAAGATCAGAGAATCTTGGGTCTCGTSACATTAATTAGGGAAATGTAGTCCACTGTTTCTCAAAAGCAGAGAGTCTAAAACAACCTTGCTTTAAAAGCAAGAAGCGCCTTGGACAAAATTCTCTACTGAGTGTGAARGTATCAGTAAGTTATTTGGAATGCACTATATTTAGACCATGAATTTACAGTTTTCTACAGTTCATGATCCCAAGTGCGTGTTGAACAGAGCTAATCTTTTCAGCGCCAGACAGTGTCTGTTTTAGAAAATAATTTAATTCAAAACCTCTTTAAGATGTCAGACTGTGGAATGAAAGCCTGTAATGTGTCTTGGAGAGAGGTGTTTTAGGAGAATGAATTAATCCCTACACTATATAGAGCTTGAAGTTTGCTATTTAAGCAGTAGTTTAGAGATAACTGATTTCTGGCTTGCTACTGGAGAAACAATATCTGAGCAGAAGTTGTTCCTTGTCTGAGCTTGTTGGTGCAAAGCAGATAAAATACCTGGAGCTGCTTCTGCAGTTTTACCAGTGTGAATCAGTGTTGTTCTTAAGTTTACCCAAAGATTCCTGCTGCTCTCCTGGAACTGCCTGTTTTTCTTGAGGTGATTGTTTCAGGGCTTCTGGTGTGTGATCTTGAGCTTGGTGTCTTGCTGCTTTGATTGCCTCCAAACTCATCCTGAGCCTTTTCTGGAACGTTTTCTTTTAAGTGAGGCTATCTCAATATCTTTATTTTATTCCTRAGCTCTTTAAGGTCTCTATTTGCCAGTATCCATCCTCCCTGACTGGGAATACATGTATAAAAACATATTGTTTGGATAACTTTGTTTTTTTTCTCCTCCACAAATGATAAAAATAGTTTTTTTAGAAAACCTCCTCTCTCTTAGGAAAAGTAAAGATTTTGATATACTCGCTGTGCCAGTTTTGCTAAGCAGAGTTTTGCCTTTCTCTTGTGTAGCTGGCCAGTCTGTTCCAGATTCATGCCTCCCATATATATTGAAGTATGGCATTTCACATACCAGCAAGTGAATGGTACCGCTGTTGTGGTCTGTTTCCCGTGGCTCATTGCTCTTTTATGTGAATAATTGGCAGCATACATGCTATTTGAATCCTACAGGCAGATGTCAACTGACATTTAGTCGGAGAATTGAGTTTTAGTTGGAACCMGCAGAATGTTCAGGCCTTTCCTGTTAGAAGCTGCTGCTGCGGTGCACTCGGAAGGCAAAAGGACGGAGTCATGTAATACAGTGAGAAGTAACTTCCGAAAAAATGTGGACCAGTATTTTTCACTAAATCACTAGAATTTTTGCCATATTTATGCCCTGAAAATAAGGATTATACTTATGATCAAGAAATCATAAATGCAACACAAATTAATACCAGCAAATGAATAACAGCAGCACACAAGCTGTCAAGCTAACTTGTGCTCTTGGGATTCTGATCATAAACTGTAGCTTAACAGAATTTATAAATGTGGAGCAAAGTGGAGTAACTGATTATTTTTTATGAGTTCTGCTTTGGCAGCTCACTGAAAGATCAATGCAGACTTGATTTTTTTTTTTTTCTAAAGAAAGACTTTCTGACCAAAAAGAAATCTGGGGTATGTGTGTGCCAGTACTCTAGTACTGAGTTCCAGCAACAACTGTCACAACCATGACTTCTTTTATAATTAATGTCTTTTAAATGAAACTACTCTGCTGAGTCTGATTTGGGTGAGAATTTTGCTTCACCTGAGACGTGATTTGGAAGTCTGGGATTAAAAAATAATAAATAAATCAATTTAAATGGGGAAAAGATGCATACTGAATTTGACTTGCTTTCTGAACATATTCTCAAAATGGAGATTATATTCTCAGGCTGTTCAAAACCACTAATGCAAAATGTGAGAAGCTAAATTGATGAGCTATTCCAGATGTTCTGAACTGAAGCTTGCATGGGTAGGGTATTGAAAGAGGTTTGGCTATAGGGAAAACCGGTATGAGACGTGGCTGGGCAGCTTCGTTAGCAGCACCATGCAAAATGTTACTTCTGCAGTACGAATTAGATATGACTCTTGACCAGATTAGAGGTTTTGCAAAGAGATTTTTCCCATTCTGATATGCTGATTTAAAAAAAAGGATGAATCTGACCTGCATTAAAGCAACCCACTCTACTTCCTACTGTGGCTTTAATAATAAAGCAAACATATCAGTTAAGAAGAAACTGAGCAGTGGTATTTGAGCACAATCAAGTGTAGTCTGTATTTCCAACAGCAGTTGGAAATGGTATTTAATGATTTCCAAAGCTCCCTTTCCAAACTGAATGCAAATTATACAAGTGATCTTGGTTCCCTTATAATCTTTAGTAAATGAGGTTACATGTCGAACTAAAAAGAAGTGTTGTGATCTGTATAACACTTAGGAATTCTAGAGCAGGTCCCAGATACCTGGAGAATAGACTGGAATGGGTGGTCTGAATGTGGTGGGTAAATTTCCGCACATTTATGGAAAATACCTGGACACCAGAGTGCACATATTTACTGTAAGCTATTGTAAGCGTTCTGTATTTTCATTAAAAACATAACTGCTAAAGAATCTGTCTAATCAAGCACTTGATTTTAGATTATAAACTCTCAAAATAGCACTGATAATACTGATTTTAAACATCAAATTTTATAGGAGTTAAATACTCAGTGATTAAAAATGAAGACTTTAGAAGTCTAGACAAAGTTTAGGAGTTTGATTAGAATAATTCAGTTCTTAAATCTTCTGAACATAGCCTAAAATTACACGGAGTGCATATTTAATGTAGGATTTGTAATTCTACTCTGTTGCCAGTTTGCCATTATTTCTCAGAAACCGGGGTGAAATTCACAGCTCTACCTCTCTGCAGTCCTCAGGAGAGCCTGCCGTCAGAGTGGGTGGTTGGAGGAAGAAGGGCTAAGTAAGCTTTGCTTCCAAGGGAATCCAGAAAGGAGATTCTCCTAGCTCTGGGATGGCTAAATGTCTGTCAGGGGCTCAGCATTACGTGCTCTTAAAAGCTGCTGTTTTTCTGCAGAGTTTGCTGCACAGTTGAGCCACTAAATCTGTGGGACTTTTATTTCTGATTTGCAGGATTACTGTGTTTGGGTGCATATCCACTAACTAAGCTTTCCTGTCACCAAAGAGATGAATTTGGGGCTTCTAGCTGGGTTCTGCCTTTGCATGTTGTCATTGTCCTATAAGTGAAGTGATCATCTGTTGGCAAAAATCACAGTGTGGTAAACCCCAGCCTCAGAGTATGGATTAATACATCACAGTTTGAAGCACAGGAGAAATTCATGGTAACAGAATCACAGAATATTCAACTGCCGCTGGCTTTCCATTTTCTCATTTTGTGTGGGAAAACAACTCCTGTTAAAGACTTCGGAGCATTTTAAAGGGAATTGCTTCTTGTGGTTCCAGTTTGAGGGAATGGCAGTTCTTGTTGCTTGGAAAAAGACTTATTTACAGTCACACAGCAAGTATGTCAGAGATGAGTGGAAGCAGGTGGCCTGGCTGATCCTTCCTTCCTTCCTTCCTTCAAGTATGAGACTAGCTTTTTGGGGAGGGAAATGMTGAAAAGTATTTGAAATTAGTTTAGTGCTGATAGACTCTTCAGATGCTGTGATTGTGGATGTGGGTTGCTTGGCATCCTTAGGTTTCATAAAAGAAGATGAATTCTTGTTTCAGAAGACTTTCTTGCAAAGGAGGAATGTAGGAAAAACAAGGCTTATCACTACATATTTTTAGTAATTTATGGAGGTGGCAGTTGCTTGTCTCTTTTTTTGCATTACTGTATTGACTTTCTGATAAACCTTACCTAGGATTTGAGGCATTTATAAAACTGCAAATTATGGCTCATGTTGGCTGCAGCTGTTCCAGAAACACTGAAAAATTGGGACTTCCCCAAATCTGATTTCCTGCTGCTTTAATATTCTATATTGATTGGAGTTGGCTCTTCGTTCCCAGCAGACTTTAATATTCCTAGAAACTTGCTTTCTTTGAAACGGATTTCAAAATGTAAACAAGTCTGTAATGCACTTGATGTTCCGAGCTGGAAGAAACCTCAAGTGCCTTGCTGGAACGCAGATGAGTGGCTAAAGCAACTGCTTGCAGAAAGTGAAGGGGCCGAGTGCAATTAACCTTAAAACATCCAGTTCATCTCCAACGGTGTTTATTGTTGCAGCCRTGTGTTGGGTTTTAGTGAAGACCTCTTGAATAGCAGTAATGCACGGCAGCAGCGAGCGCCGAAGGCATCAGAGCCCTCCTGTTCATCTTTGCATCCAGCTCTGGGGTTATCGTGGCAGCACCAGGGTTTATTTGGGGCTTTTGCGGGTTTGTTGGCTTGTTTTGTCCTGTTTGTTTTYAGTTTCCGAGCTGATACTGACCTTTTTGTCTGCCCTCGAAAATGATTCCCTGTGTGGAGGCTCTTGCCAGTGTGGTCCAACAGAGTGTGTGCTAAGATTTTAAAGGAGTACTGAGGAAAACAGCGGAGTTCACAGGTTTCGTTTGGCCATGCAATGTCTCTCTTGACTTTTTTTGGCAGTAGTCTGCAGAATACAGCCAGGCTGTCTGCAGTTCAGCTTCCAAATGTGGAACATGCCTGACCTTGCCTGGTATGCCCTCTCGCGCTCTCCAAGTATTGTAGAAACTTATTTTCCCACAAACTCCCAAACAGCCAGTGCCTGAGTTGGATTTAAAGTGAGCGCTGTATCAGAGTACCCTTCAACTAAAACATCACTTTATTTAGCAACTGTTTATTCCCTTCTCTTTGTGTTATTTACTTCCATTCTTATTTACCTTAGAAAGGAGAACACTGTCTAAATCTCTGAACCCCCTCGGCTTTATAGGCACAGCAGAAAAGTTTTATGCAGGAGTTTTTGTAGAAAAACTTACTGATTACTGGTGTGCGTGTGTATATATAAATATATATATAKAGAGGCAGGCTTTTTTCTTTCCTGACACAAAATAAATGTTTATTAAAAGATAAATGTTCTTTTGCTATTCTGGTTTAAACCCAGAAGTCTTCACTGTGTTTTGTGAAGAATGTGCACAGTTTATAACTAGAATGCGCTAATGTGCCTTTCAGTAACTCTTAGTTGCAAAAGAGGGAATTGAAGGTGCATTTGGGGATCCAGGTTATTTCAGACATGTAACATATCTGTGAATTCTACTTGGCCTTGAGCTTTTTCAGATGGCAGAACTGAAGCTGTTTTGCCAAAAAGCAAGGGACATAATTTGGGAATTCCTCCTGTGGAATTCAGATTTTCATAGCCGAGTTGTCTAGCTTTCCCCTTTGACTTGTATCCAGTATATTTATGCCTAAATATTGTTCCAGTATTGACTCATTTCAGTGATGTGTGATAGTAAGTGTATGCTGATTAGCAGGGGCTTTTAGTGTAGTGGTTATAGAGGGGAGACGCGTTGGAGGCAGCAGACAGCTAAGGGACCCGCATACCCCAGAAGCTGGTACTGTTTGCTGCCCTTTGMAAGGGTAGCTGCAGGCTTCAGGATTTTGGCTGGTGATTGTTTTATATGTATTTATGCCTCTTTAAAATGTGAAATCCTTAATTATAGGGAACTTACTGTTCCGATCGGAGCAAAKGTGTGCCTTGAACATAAAGATCTCTCGGTTGATTTAAAATCCCCTGTTACGCTTGGTTAATGCAAGTGTCCTGGGCTCTGTCTTGTCACATTCATAAATGGGACTTGTTCTTCTCTTTTAGGAAATGCCTAATTCTGTCTTTTTGGTAATGGAGGTATGTGTCAATGTATATTTCTCTTTGGCTGATTTTAAGAGTTGTCTTTGGACAAAACTTTTAGGAAAAGAAAAAAAATAATTGATGGACATAGCTGCACAATAACCTTGACTTGCTAAAATAAATAATTTTGAAAACTAGTCCATTRATTTCATCTGCAGTACTAATTTTGCTATTTTTGGTTCTACAAATTTATTCATCATTGTTTCTTTTGAATCTGAAAGTGTTAATGAAGTGTTATGCTTTGAATTAATAATTGTAAATGACAAACAATATTAAGACAAACGCCTGGAAAGGTGCATCTAATTTTAATACAAAGGTAACAAAGTAAGAAATTCTCGTGTGTATTTCAGTGCTCGTGTTTTGAGTAAAAACTCTTTTTCTTAACAGTACTGCAATGGTGGGGATTTGGCAGATTACTTGCAAGGTAATTGATTACTATATTTCCCCGTTAGGAGGTTACTGCATTACATGTTTATATTGTGTATTTGTGTAATCCATCAGTGTTTTCTTGAGATTTTGCTTGTGGTTTAAATATTTATTTTCCCATTAATGGCATGACTCTTAATTTCATAATGCTGCTTCTCCTGGTGTGATCTTGGAGTGTCCTCATTATAAAATCCATTGAATTTATTAGTTCTACATTAGCTGCTCTAAAGGGAGAGTTTTGACCAACCATAGGGATATTTCATTCGGATACAGTCAGGATGTTTCCCATCATATGGAAGTGTACAATATGTGGGGAACTGGAGCTGTCCTTCCTCCCTGTCCTTCCTTCTCCAGAGTGTGATCTGCAAGAATGTGCACTCTTGTATGTGAAAGCCTTCTGGCTGCATTCCAGTTAATTTTCAGGATACTTGATCCCATTTTGTGATGCCACTTTGGTCTTAGCACTAATCAAGCCAGATAGACATATGCTTCAAAATGGCAAACCTCTAATTGTAAATATAAAGCCAGAAGTACATAAAGCAATTCTTGTTGGTTGCTGTAATGTCTTCTTTTTTGGGGGGAGAAAGGGAAATAATGTACTTTACTTTCAGAGAGGTGACCTGCTGTTCTCTGTCTCCTAGACAGCCTTTCCAATGGTTTTCTTGAAACTAATGGAAAAAAATCTTAGTTTCTGCACAGGGAACGACTAAGGGCCTGTTCAGTGGTATGTCATATCTCCAGTCAAGGTCATCAGAAGAGTGCAGTTCATGTTCTGTGTAACAGTTCAAAAAACTTGAAAACTAAACTGTGCTCTAGGAAGAGATTTGTATTTGTTTAAAAATAGTTCCAAGTTATTTTAARTATCGCTTCAAAAATAAGACCTGCAAGCTAAGAATAAAAAGGGAATAAAATAGTGCATAGGCAGGAAGTGCTTTTTGTCACTGCTTCCAAAACTCTTGAATATAATGTTCTCTTAGTTGTATACTGAGAAGAGTTATCAAGCCACTTCCTATTTTTAAAGTCATGTTTTTGGGTGTTGCACTTTGTCTCCTGGTTTTTACCTGTGTTTTTTTCAAAGATGTGACCTTAAAAATACATTAAATTCCTTAAATAATGAGTACAAGGAGGAAGTTTAGACTCAGTAGAGATTTTACCCTCCAGCATGGCTCTGCCCAAAGCCAAGGCAGACGTTGCAGCATCATGTCAAGTTGATTCTTCTTAAAAACAAAATTCTGAGTGGATATTTTAATCTTTGTTGTTCTGGTGAACATCTTTAGGGTTTACTTGCCTTTACGTCTGCAGCATGCTGAATGAATCCTTGTGCACAACCTTTGTTATGGTAACTGTGTATATTAAAAGCTTAATTCACCTTCCATTAATATCCTTGGAAAGGCTCATGGTGTGATCCAGCCCCTGTCTCCAGAACCCTTCCGGGTGCCAGAAGTGATCTAGCATATTCTGAAAAGACTTTCAAATAACATTTAGGTAAAATACTGTAAAAGCAGATAATTTAGAGTAGAAATCTAGGGGAGAACTATGGAGATGAAGATATAATTTAAAGTATATGTTTATAGAAAAATATGGGAARCTGGCTTATTTGGAATGATTTCACTATGATATGATTGTCTTCACCATTGATTGCTGTGAAATATATTGCTTTTTGGCCAGAGATGCTTTTTTTTTTCTCATCTGTGCTAACGTATGTGTTATTTTCAGCTAAAGGAACTCTTAGTGAAGACACCATCCGAGTGTTCCTGCAGCAGATCGCAGCAGCTATGCGGATTCTGCACAGCAAAGGAATCATTCATAGAGACCTTAAACCCCAGAACATTTTGTTGTCTTATGCAAGTCGTAGGAAGTCAAGTGTCAGTGGCATACGCATCAAAATAGGTAAATATGCTTTTCTCTTATCTGAAGAGATGGTTGTTTCTCTGCTCACAATAATTGAAGCATAGAGGATGTACTGGCTGTGCAGCTGATGCTGAGCATTAAACTGATTGAAATCAGAGAGTAAGTCCAGAAGAATGAGCTTTATGCTGCAATGCAGATTCCCAGTATAAAGAAACTTGAGTCATAAAGACCTTTGTGATTAAATCTGCAGGAAGAAAAAACCCTATTGAGCTGATGTTTCTAATAATAAATTATTTTAATTAGATGTAAATGCATAATTTCTGAATGGCCTTGAGTGCATTTCAGCTCCAGCTTTTTTTAATTTATGTTGTGGTAGACACCTCCTCCCTCCCCCACAATGGGTTTCTTGAAAGGTTTTGAAATGGAGGTGACCTATTTTTGGCCGAAGGAGATTTGGCCTTGTAACTGGGAAGAGATATCAGCTGTTCAGGATACCACCAGACTTCTCTTTGAAGACTCCAGGAATCTTGAATTTTCTATCTGTTAAAAATCCATTGATAAAGACCTTGCTTTTAAAAGGTTCTTTGCATGCCTTTGCTTATGCAAGATTTGAAGTCAGTTCCAGCAAAATCACTCCATCTTCCGAACAACACAAATGAGACAAAACCTCCCTTCTTTTTTTGCTTGATAATTTCACATCCTTTTGCTTGCATGAAAATGCAGGCCTCTGAAAACTTCACTTCTTCAACTTCTACCTGATGTGATTTAGCTGCAGCAGATTGTATATTCATCACTCTTAATGAACCATTTATATTTAGCCACTGACTTTAATCCTTTCCTGCTGACGCCAGACAGCATACCCTGCAGCTGGAGAGCTGGCTGAGCCCCAGTTTGTACAAGTGATGCCACTGCTGTTTCTTGGCTTGCTGATTGGAAAGATGCTGTGTTCTTTCAGTKCATACCCCAGATTTTGCTATTCCATAAAGTTAGTTATATATTATTGTACCTGTTTTTCCTCTCTGACTGTTAATTATATTGGATTTCAATAAAAGATCATTTCTAGACTGCAAAAAGTAGGAAATTATCCCTCTTTTCATTGACAAATGTGTTTCTTTATATAGCTGACTTTGGTTTTGCTCGTTATCTGCATAGCAACATGATGGCTGCAACCCTGTGTGGTTCCCCTATGTATATGGTAAGTMAGTATTTTTCAGATAGTGTTGCTTATCTCAAGCATTCTGTTACCAGAATGAAATAACTTGCTGCTTGCAGACGGGCAAATGCCTGTTGTTGCTTCAGGGGTGACGTGCAGTTCACCTTTCCGGAGTCTGACAAGCATCTGTTGTCTTGTGATGTGCACATCACAGTTGTTAAAAGGAATGAGACACAAATTGGAAATGTTCCTTAGCACTGCAGGGAAGAAAAAACTTTGCAAATTAAGAAGCTGTTTCTTCAGCATCTCTCAGCATCAGTTTTTTGCATTCATAAAGTCATTCTCCTATACATATTGTTTTTCCTGCAGTGGGCTTTGGCACTTTCCTATTTTATTGAGAAGTGGAAGATGATAAATAGAAGCTCGATCATCTTTACACTAGTACTAGAAAATGAGTTGATGTTTTCATTCCGGTTATTTAATGTAGCCTTTCACACATGGGCGCTTTTTGTTCATGCTTTTTAAACAATTTGGAGTTAATCACCTGTGATTTTTGTGCTGTTTGTGGCAGTGCCACTAGCCAGCTGTGTGGTCATAGGAAAAGGATTTCACTTTCCCATGGCTTGGTGTTCTTATCTGTAAAATGGTGATTATGGTTTTGTTTGAGACATGCATGATTATTTGCCTGCAAATCAGACTACATAAACCAAATAACTTACCTGTTATTTCCATATGTGCAGATTGTTATCTTGGTTCTTTATAACAGCATTTCTAGCCTATGTTTTTAAAGCAGAGCTTGCATTTYAGATAATACAATTGTTGCCTCTCAATTCATGTAATAATGCAGACTRAAATGTAATTTTTGCCTTGGAGTATTTATTCTTTCAACAAATTGGTCTCTTAACACTGCTCTGAGATTGRTGTGGCAGACAAATGATGTAATTTGTTCTTCTGTGGCTTTATGTTTTCTTTTGTTTTGCCTTCTAAGATTCTTATGTGCTTTTCAGGCCCCTGAAGTGATTATGTCTCAACACTATGATGCCAAGGCAGACCTGTGGAGCATAGGAACTGTGATTTATCAATGTCTTGTTGGAAAACCACCTTTTCAGGTAACACTTCATTTCTCCTTTTCTCTTTCCATTGCTGTTTATACTGTCGTGGAAATTCCTGGAGCGTTGCCTTCCAGTGACAAGTGTAAGGAGTGATGTCCTGAGTGTAGTGTCCATGCCTCAAAGGCCAGGTAGCTCGAGGATACCAAAGGAGAAGTTGCTCACAATTAAGTCTTTGTAGATCAGTGTTTCCAGCCCTGGACAGATGTTTAAGGATACTCAGAACTGATGTTACTGCYATGCTTGGATTTTCTCCTTAATGCCTATATGCAAAAACCTCCTTTTTGTGTATGTAGATAARAAAGCTATTTTTTCCCTTGAATTGAACTTTAATTAATGTATCTTTTTATCTGACAGGCCAATAGTCCTCAAGACTTGAGAATGTTCTATGAAAAGAACAGGAATTTGATTCCTAGGTATGTCACTGTGGCCTCTTCTTCACTTGTATTTGATTGAATACTCTCATCTTTTGGGAATGCCTGGAATTGRTAAAAATACCTGATTTTGCTTGCTTGACATGGCAGATTGTATCTGTGGCTTGTGTTGCATTTTGCCTTTGCACCTTGCTGACTTGAAAGTATCTTGTCTTAAGGCTGTTGAGCACRTGCAGTGAAGACTTGGGGACATGGCAGAACGGTGATTTTCTGAGTAATTAACAGAAATCTAACTTGTGTTTTCTTCCTTCTGTGCACAGTATTCCTCGGGAAACATCAGCTTATCTGGCTGACCTGCTGTTGGGTTTGCTTCAGAGAAACCAAAAAGATAGGATGGACTTTGGTACGTAACTTGTTTTTGTTCCCTTGATTTCCGTTGCTGTGTTTGTGTACCCAGAATAACAGTCTTGGCTTTGTGTCCAACCAATTCCACCAAGCCCAAACCTTTTCTTTCTTTATCTCTATTGTCATAAAGGAGATGGAGTAGCCTCCCGACACCCACCACCCCCCAAAAATAATAAACCTACAATGGAGTAACTGCTGCCAGTCAGTAGTAAGTGGTATATGCAAAGCATCACTTTGGTTGTGGTTTAACTGTAAAATGTAGATGATTTTAATTGTAACTTCAACATCTTTTTTTCTCCCCTAGTCTTTGCTCATAGAGAAAAGTGGTGGTAACTGAATGTTAAGGAGAGTGGRTAGTTTGTTTTTAAATTTTCTGCTTCTGTTAGTATTGCATTCAAGCCCAAAGCAGCAGATGATAAAGTGCAGATGTCCCATGCACAATTCTTTGTTTCCAAGAAACAACATTTTTGTAATTGCTGTGTACCTGTAAGCATTTACAAGTTAATGATTAAAAACATTAGGAACAGTATTGACATTATGCAATCACTATTTATAGCGTTCCTCTTCTGATATCTGCGTGGCTGTAACTCTTGGCGAGTGTCTTCAACTAAACCGTTGTTCTGCAAGCTGAGGTTTTATCTCTGACAAGCAAATGTAGGGTAGCAATTTGCACTAGGACTAAGGAAGAAGGCTTTTTCTGCCTTGCGCTTTTCCAGTGGGCGCAACTGCCTTCATTATAATATACCTTAAATTTTGCATCGCAGTCATTTTTGCTATGCTTATTGCTCTTTTCTAACTGCTTGAAAAGATTAGTGATCTCAGAGTCATTTTGGTGACAGAAATTGAATGAAAAATAATGAAAGACCAACAGTTTAGGAAGCTGCTTTACATTTTTTAACCAGAAAGCAGTGAAAACAATAGTTGTATCTTTATAATTGTGTGAGTTCTAAAATTTTAAAACAGAGAGCAAYCACTTTTGATGGCTACGGAAAATACTTTTTGCTTTCAGTGAGTAGTATGGCACCTGCAAAGCACAATTCTTTGATTGCTTTCCACAAATACATCCTCTCCAGTCTGGAAAGAGATCTCTGGAGGGAAAGAGCCCTGTTTCTGGGTCACTTTAATTCAACATAACTTGCTGGTTCTGTGCTGTGGGCATTTGGCTACCCCGCTGAAATGCGGAAATGAGGCAGACCTATTTCACGCAGGCCTGTGGAAACAGGCCAGGCCAGCCAAACTGTTGCCTTGTTTTTTCAGTCATTCCTGGCACAGGTGTGTGTTGATACAGAGAGCTAGCAGTGAGGGATTCTGTAGGGTGGATAGAGGAGCTGGGAGCTGTATTTTCCCCATCTTTATTAGATTTTGAAGTGACTCTTGGAASAGCAGAGTGTATAGGTAGGATATGATCTGGGAGATTACTATATTTCTCAAAAAAACAATGATACGTTTAACTCCATAGGCCACAGGTTTTGGGATACTTCCCTATCAACCTCTGAAGTAGTGGTGAGATTTGGAGTCCTTGGAGAACGCCTGCTCTGGCCTTAGGAGTCCAGGCTGTCACAGATRACAAATATACCCCGGGGGATGCTCATTTCCACTGTGTAACTACAGAGGAAACTTGGCCTGCAAGTTGGKCAGCATCTTTACTGCTTCTTGACTGAAGTTAGCAAAGTATTAGGTTAGTGCAAAGCCTGTTTAGGACAGCATTTGGATTAGCTGGGAAAGCCAAGCCTAGTGCATGCGAGGTTGACGGTCCCTTAACAAAAGTGAGGTTGTTTGGCCACAGTTTATTGCTGTGKTTGGCGTTTCCTGTTTAGCTGGAGGTCTCTGGTTGCAGAACATTATGTTCGAGCCTCTTAACATTTCAAGGCCGTCAGATCAGTAGCATTGACTCATTCGGAGCAACTAGAACTGTTCCCTCTTCAAAAGTAGTCAACAGTGGAGTTTAGGTTYGTGTGTGCTTTGTACACGCTGGATAGTCTGTTACTTGGATCCTGGAGAGTTTTTGTTGCTGTTTTTGTTAGCTATTCCTGCTAATGCAGTCATTTCTTTTGATGAGAACCATGGCAACATTTTAAAAAGAAGATAACTGAAAAGTTTTATCTTGAACAGTTCTTTGTACTTGCATGTGTAGGTTATGTTATGCTGGTTCTTAAAGGTCCTGCTTATGAAACTGCCTCATTGCTGTTTAGTTATACATGCAAGCCAGGGTTTGATGCAGTCCTGGAATACGCAGTTGCTCTCACCACGTGTGGTTCCTGTGTGTCTGTGATAAGAATATAACTTTGCATATTTGTTAGGTTGTGGAGAGAAGATTAAAAGGTTTTTTGGTTCTTTATTAGATGCTTAAGTCCTTCCAGTTTACTTTTTTTCCCCTTTTCAATTTCTGCTATGTTTTGTTCTCAAGAAATATGAAACAGTTTTTAGGGGCACAATTTGAAAATTTGAAGCAGCAGTAGCAGCATAATGGAAAGTATTKCTCTTCTGAAAAGTACGCATATGTTTTTGAATGTGGACCTGCCTGAAATCAATTGGTTTAGCTCTCCTCCTAGCTTCAGCAGAAAGCAAATGCAGAAGAAACTCAAGATTATAAGTTTGCATATGGCGTTCACAGTACAGATGTTGATTTGTAAATTTGCGTGTGGAGAAGACTTGATAGGTCACCCCTGGATGTTGAGTAACCACTTCCAGCTCGTGTTCTGCACATGCTGATCCCCACCACTTCCCCATCAGGGGAAACTGGCCGTGTCCTTTACGGTAGTGGAGGGCTCTGTTTTTGCTTAGAAAGGAAAACACAAAGCAGAGTGGTGGTGATGAAAGTCGTGTTTCCCTTGGCCGAGCGGCCGAAGGGCCTCAAAGGGGCTGCTCTGGAATGTGCTTAGCCAAGGGAGTGAAAGGGAGAGTGGAGAACTGAGCACAGTTGCTTGTTGTTAAAGTAAAAATAGCGCTGGAAATCTTGCTGATCTCACAGCAATGTGGAGTAGAACAGCAGGTGTTGTACGAAAGCCCGAGAACACCTGATCCTTGTATTAAAGTTAATCATTATATTGCTCATAGCTTGGAGGAAGCCTCCCTTCCTTATCGGGCTGTTGAAGAAAGTGTTGTTGAAGAGGGACAACAGGCCTCAGCGTTTCTTTTTTTTTATCTTGTTATTTGCTTAGGTCCAATGAACAGCATTGTTTGTCTTCAACTGCCCGAACATTGCAGTTCACAGAGATGTGCAGCCAGCTTCCTCCATCCCTCAGCCTGCCCTGGCCTGCTGAAGGTCTCTTGCAGAACAAAACCTGCCGTGCAAGCTGTTGGCCAACTGGATGCACTAAGTCAATTAAGTGTGTCTCAGTGTATTCAGTTACAAACCAAAGCAAATGCTTCTGTTGTTGAAACAGAAACAAGTTAACTGACCAAATAGTTAAAGAAAATTTTATGTAATTCTGGTCTAAATGGTGAAGCAGCTGCCTAGGCAGTGTGTATTGCTCTTGGGAAGAGGGAAGGAGAATTGCTGCTGTTCTGTTTTGATCTCTGAACACCTAAGGAGCAGCATGAATGGTTCCAAAGTAAATTAGCAGCAATCCTTGGGAAAGATGCTGGCACTGCTGAAGTGGAAATACTTAGTGTTTGAAGATACTCATCATTTTGAAAAACAAATTACAGTGGAAGGAAGCCGTATTGAATGTAGAGAACCTAATTTCATGGTGGCCAGAAGAAGAGTTCTACTACACATGATCCTTAAGCCCAGTCATAAAATGTCCTTTGCTAATCCAGTCAGAGTTGCCTTGCTAGTTCTTGCTTTGAAGTTACTCAGTTGACAGTGTTTCCTTTCCAAGTGCCATTGCAACATATAACATGAAATCTTTAGCCTTTTCTAAGCCTTCACCCTCTGGGGATGAAATACTGATTCAGGAAAAGCAGTGATTCATCATCTGCCATCTAGGCTTCAAGTTCTGTGTTATTTGTGTGTTAACTCACCTGAACTATTGTTTCTCGTTCTGCAGAAGCATTTTTCAACCACCCTTTCCTGGATCAGGTTTCAACGGTCAAAAAGTGTGAGTAGTTTTGTGTTTCCACTTATTTAGGTAAAGGTGGGGAGGAGGGTAAACCCACCAAATATCCCAATGAGTTTTTGAGATGTTTTCCTGACTTTGTTGCAAGCTTAAAGGAGATGAATCTTTTTGTTTCATGGTGTACTGAATTATGATATTTATTTACTGGTTCCTTTGACCTTTAAGCTAAATACCTTCATATATTTAAGGATGTGCTGTGTTTATAAGCTTTGTAAGAGTTTATGCAAGTAAATCAGTACGGGGATAAATATTATTTTTCTCTTGGCTCTTCCTCCTCTAGCTTGTCCTGTACCAGTGCCCACGTACACAGGCTCAGTCTCTGGCAGTTCCTGTGGTAGTTCTCCTTCGTGTCGTTTTGCTTCTCCTCCAGTAAGTTCTCTGTTTTTCAGAATAGCTTCTTGAAAGTCACTTTTTTGTAGTATTAGGCAAGAGTTACTGATTTTTTCATCTTTCAATTCTTGGCCAGTGTACTAAACTGTCATGTTAAAGAGTGCAAAGTAAGGAATGGTCTTTTGGTAGAACATCTTGATTTTCTCTGTTCCTTCTGTTGTGCTATGTGTGTGGTTGGTGTGTGTGCGTGTTTCTGTTCTTTTTAAGTGTTTATTTGGTAAAAAAGAAATCAAATATTAGAGTAACAAATCTGCTAATGTGACATGCAACATAATGAATGGTACAGATAATTCTTGAATTGACCTTTGTGGTTAAGACCCTTTGATACAAAGTGGTGACTTTCATTTTATGTGTTTTTTAGAAATGATGCAGCTGARTCCTCAGTGATTGATTAAATAGCAGTCAATTAAATACACTGCCAAATTAATATACAGCTGTCTAAATTGACATTACAGGATTATTTGGTATTTGCATTCAGATGCAACTTACGTTTTTGAAGACTTATGAAATCCAAACCTAGCCCAAAATGTGTTTGGAAGCTACTGCTATAAATAGCTATTAATTATAGCTATATATAACTACATTTATAACTGTATATACTTTTGTATAGTTAAAGAAAGAATTGTACATTCTGAAACGCTGGATTTATGGTATTTTGAGGTTTTGTTTTGTTCTTTTTCCCCCTTCCAGTCTCTGCCAGACATGCAGCATATTCAAGAAGAAAACTTGTCTTCTCCTCCATTGGGTCCTCCTAACTATCTTCAAGTGTCTAAAGACTCTGCCAGTACCAGTAGCAAGAACTCCTCTTGTGACACAGATGACTTTGTTCTTGTCCCCCACAACATCTCTTCAGATCACTCATGTAAGTGGCCTGAGGAGCTTTCCATATTTTTTGCATTTTAGAACTTTCTGCACTCAGAGCATGCCATTATGTCCTGTTACTGTTTGGCCACCTTTTCTGTAAATGCATCTTAATTCACGTTGGGAATTCATTTCCCCAGTCGATTGCTCTTTGAAGAGAGGCTATGTGGTATCCATGAATCCTAATGTCCCTCSGGGTTATTTTCACCTAGTGAATGCCTAGATGTGCCAATGCTGCAGGCAGAGTTCAATAACAGCAAAGTCATTTGAAGTAATGAAAAACACTGGTGTTTTGGCACTTGAAAAATGAGTCTTTTGTAAACAGCCACTGATGATAAACCCAAGGAATCTCTCAGTGGAGGCAGGCACACTGTGACCTCTGGACTAACTGAGCAGTCCACGCTGTAGAATGTTAAATAATAAGTAAGTGCAAGTGAAAGGCAAATACTTAAAGTGAAGAAGGTTGAGGGATCAGATCTGGCTTGCAGAGAAGGCAGACTGGTTTAGCACATTGCCATTTTATGGCATCTTCCAAAGCTGACTTACTGTTATGAAGCTGATTTCCACCCCTTAGTGCCCTCAGCTCACGTTGTGTATTTGGCCAAATTAGAGCCTTGATTTCTCAAGTGTCTCTGCAATACTCCTATATGCTTCCCAATACGGATGCCTTGTAACCTTAAACAGTGGATTTTATTTCAAAATTGTCAGTATATATAGAGAGAAAATTAAAAGTCAACCTACTTTCTCTGATTATATTTTTATTGTAGTTCATATATGAGGTATTTTTACATACAAAACAGTTTTGTGAACATACAAAAATTTTCTACAAAGCTTGTCAGTAATGGCTATTTCTACAACAGTAATGCTGGAGATGTTTCTTGGGGGATTTTGCTGTGTGATGTGGGTTTTCAATGTGTTCTTCTGCTTGCTGTAGATGATATGCCATTGGGAGCAGCTGGCAGGCGGGCTTCAAGCGAGTTCTTGATGTGTGGAGGGTAGGTGTTTATCCAAAAAATCTTATGTTCTAAAATTGACACTGCAGCTTTAGAAGGGGRTGCTGGGTTTTTGGCAGTGATGGGTGTACATTGCTCTGTGTGGACTTTCTTGAAGATTAATATGCCAAGCTCAATTTAACATGACTTTGTAAMGAGCTTGAATTAGCAAATACTTTTTTTTCTCTTGTGCGAAGAAGAGATTTTTGAAGTATTCCTTGTTTTCACAGGCAGTCACCCTTAACTATTTCTGGAAGCTCAGGAACTGTACAGAAACCATCCTCTGCCTCATCTCGAAGTACTGCTTCTGGTACAGCTAACAGGTGCGTGATGAAGGTTTAATAACTCCTCTCTTTCAAAAAGTTTCCGTTTTTTTTTTTGCATCTTTATTGTGAGTAGCTACGAGAAACTGTATTGAAATAGAAGCCAGGATGTTTCATTCTGGGTTTTCTCTACCTAATGTGTTGTAGTGGCTGATGGTTGTGCAGCCAACTTTTGGCTTAGATGCTTCCCCAAAAGATTTCCTTACAGCAGAGTATTCTTTTGTCTGATTAAATTTTGAACTGATTGAAAGAGAAACTGCAGAGAGAATTGGTCTGTCCCTTGGGTGTTATAAAATACAGCATGTTCTTCATTTAGCTAGCCAGKCTGTTGAATGCAACATAGGTTTTCAGAAGTTGTGTGAGAAGAGGAACTGTTTCCTATGGATGTGGGTCTTGTGGCTAGTATAGGGTGTGGGCCCTATAGAAGCTGTTACTGTCTGTTTGGCATTTATGGCTCTTAAAATACCAATGAAATAAGTTGGGCATATTTTGCAGCTTTCCCATCAGCTGTTAGTAAGGTTCCTTTCTTCCATATGGATATGGCAGTTTCTGATGGTTTGAAATAAAATTGGCATTCATTGGTGCTGTCCACGATGTATACCTAATATATTATCTAGTATCTGTTTTTTGACAGAGTAATGCCTTTCTAACTGTTTTCAGTACAAAATAGAAAGAGGATGGGCAGCCAAATGGGAAATGAAGCTCTGGCGTTAGCTGTATTTTTGGCTTATGCTAATATTGCAGAAGTGTGAGCCAGCACTATGTGTTGAGAAGTGCTTGTCATGAGAAAAGTTTGCTGCTTTGTGCTGATGGGGAAAAGCATTTGTGTGATCTGCTGACATGGGCTATTAAGAAAGCATTAGCCTTAACTTTAAGGGCAGATAATGTGGATGATTTGACTTTTAAAGACCCGTTTGATCTACGTTATCCACGCCCAACTCTGTATATACACATWATAATTTAAAATAAATTGTCATATACTCGTTTCAGAGTTTTCTAAAAAATATGGGTATGTTCTTTAGTAAGAAAAGTGTTGAATGGTTGTGTGATTAGAGACAAGTGCTTAGTGTTCAGACTGTTAGTACTTCAGTAGCTTGGCTGAACAGATTTAGTCGCTAACTGGCTGCTTTGGGCATGGTCTGAAGGAAGCAGAGTGCATGTCCGATTCTGCAGGATGCTGCTTTTATTTTTTTTTGGGCTCAGATACGTGACTTTTCACAAAATGTCCTTATTTCCTGTGAAACAGTGGTGGTTTTTTCCCATTAGTTGATCAAACGATGAATTGCAGCCATAGTTGTGCTGCTTTATGGCAAGTGGAAGAAGCTGTGGCAGTTCTCAGGCAGGGATAGATGGAGCCAGTTCGCTGTTAGGTGGCTACAAGCTCATCTTGCTCATCACACAGAAACAAGACTTGTCTCTAACTCTGCACGTGGCTCTGTGGCATCTTCTCTGCTCAGTAACAAACCACAAGACTAGAGGGTGCCCGAGTGCTCTCCTCTCTGCACCGTGTCACGCAGCTCATGGGACCTGCTCCAATCCACAGCCTGGGAACCACTTCACACATGGAGCACCGGGAAAGCCAAACACCCCCGCAGGCTCTGCAGTGTCACTGTGGCTCCCTGTTGTCACCTTAGCCCTAAGAGGCTGCCTGCTGCCTCGGGGGACGTTTCACTTGTTGGGACATTCTCTTCATATGGATGTTTCGGCCTTCCCGCGTAGCAGGTGGGCGCAGCTGTGGATTTATCCCATCCTCTGSCTGGCTGGTGTGCCAGGCTTGCAGGATCCTCCATGCACTGCTGAGGAATCTTGCAAGTATGGGTCTGAAAGCAGTAAAACTGAGGAGGCTGCCGGAGGGCACCAACACAGGCTTACTGAGAGCTATTCAAGCTCATGCAAATTATTTGGTAGTGTCTAGTAACTAGATGACAGTAAAAGGATAATCTCCCTTTTGCTAAGGAAGGACTGTGTGTATTAGGGAAGTACTGTTTCCTTCCCACTGACACCAAAAGGAGTGAGACAAACAGAATCAAAAATACAGACTTCTGGTCAGCTGTAGCCAAGCAGTGAGTGCTATAACTGCCTTTTTTTTCCCCCTTGAGATTGCAGAGAGCTTTCTCTCATTTTCTCCAATAAACTCTTTGCCTTTCCATTTGCTGAAAATGCGGTCAATAAAAGACGAGATACTAAGCTGATTGTCTTCCAAAAAGCCCTTTAGTTCGAAATTCTTTCAGCATAATTCTTCTTTTGAAAGTGTTGATAAGTGATGACGTTGCAGTGCTTTGGTTTCCCTTATCTGCTGGAACATGGAAGGGAGCCAGGTCAGTGACACGGCGCTGAACCCGGGCACTGCTAATCTGCAGTCTGTGGATTAACGTTCAGGTGTGTGGTTTTGGTCACTTTGGCAGGAGGTRGTTACATAACATGTTTTCTTTCTGTAAGTTCACGGCGTCTCTTGGGATGTCTCTGGGTGCGCGGCAGTGCCTTTTGTACACATTCCAGCCTCGCTGCTGAACTTCCTGTTCTCCACGCACTGGCTTTTCCTAGAACGCTATTTTGAAACGCGGTTGGCAGCGAGTGCCGGGCTCGGCACRTTGCTGTGCTGCATGACAGGGGCTGGGGCTCTGCTCTCTGCCCCGTCCCATACTCGTCAGTGCAGCAGGGCTAGCTAGCCAGAAACGGCGCTTTGTCCTCCTCAGTGGAGTGATAGTCGGCTYTGGACAAGCTGAGGCTGCGTTCCCTGCAGGAATCACTTTATTGACCTGCTGCTTGGGCTTTCCSGACGTTCAGACAATGGTGCAGTTTTGGGAGAGAGCTGGCTATCTGCATTCATCTCCTCTCTCCGTGCCYTCCAACTTCAGGCATTGCCAGCCTTCGGTGTCGCCCCGCAGCGAAACGGCRCCCATTCCCGTTCCCACCCAGCTGCGGAATTACCAGCGCATCGAGCAGAACCTCTCTTCCACTGCCAGCCCCCTGTCAAACCCCCACGGGTCTCCGAGGTGAGTTCTGACTCCTTCTTCATTCTAAYTTGTACCTTGATAGATCTCTGTACTCTCTTGTTGATGCTGTGATTTTCTTCACAAGCCCATGCTAAAGTTGGTAATAATCCCTCAAAACTGGCAGTAAGATCACAGTTGGAATTCTTCTCTATTACAAAATATGCATGTATTTTCACTCAAATGTTACCCAAGAAGGTAAAAGATCAAGCCTTGCTTTTTTTTTTCTTAAATTCCTCTTTGTGTATTATGTGGCATGACATCATGAACTAGAGGGTCAGTCATAAGTTATGTTTTGTTTTYCCACAGTAGCGATGAGATGAATGCCTTGCTGTGTAGAATATCAGAGAACATTTTTTTGATGTTCTGGTTAATCAGAGTGTCTTGATACAAAGCTCTAGTGTCCAAGACTTTTACTATAGACCATAAAGCAGACGGCAGGGAGAGCCACAGAAACAGGCTAACCAAAAACTGGTGATTTTTATGAAAATAGAACCCTCATTCTCTGGGCTTTTCAGGGTCTCTGATTTTTATAACTCTGCCATAAAAACAGACATTTCACTCAGTTGTGAAATTACAAATTTGAGTTGTCTAAAGWGTAGGAATCCATGTACTAAGGGATAAATATTTATATTTCTTCAGCTAAGCTATTATGAAATTAAAACATGCGGCAAAAAAAGTAAAATGTAATGGAAATTAAATGTTGCTTTTTTTATCCATGTGGAAGGTTTAGCTTATTGGTTCCATAAACCTCAGCTTCATAACTTTAAATATCAGTGTTTTCTTGACTGAGTAGTATACGCTTCAGAGGATACTGGAGCTTATCTTGAGGAACCCCAGCTGCTGCAGTGGGTAATCACTCCTTTCACCCTGTCAGAGCCGCGGCTGTGAGGCGCTCCAATACCAGCCCCATGGGCTTCGTGAAGCCGGGCTCCTGTTCGCCGGTACCAGCAGACACCGCTCAGGCTGTTGGGCGCAGGTTGTCCGCAGGATCTTCCAGACCGTATTCTCCATCACCACTAGGTGAGTCCTTAAAGTCTGAGTAATTTCTGGATATTTATGTGTAGCAGTAACTCAGAAGAGTAATTTGTGCTCAAAATTACCAGAGATTAAAATCTGCCCTGCTAGATCATGTTTGCAGAAATGATTTTTGTTAAACAACTGGCAAAAGGTACCAAGAGTTCTGTTTTGCTTTGCTTCCCMTTGTAGATGAGGTATAAAGTGTAAATTCATTTTACTTTTTTGTTTGCCTAGTTGGAACCATACCTGAGCAGCTCGGACACTGTTGCTGCGGGCAGCTTCAGGGACATGAATCAAGGAGCAGAAACTTTTCAGGTGAGTGACTTCTGCTAATTAATTCTCTAGACAATGAGAGATTGTTTTCCTCAAGATGGAAAAGGAACTCTACTGATGCCTGTCTTCAGATTGCTGAACAGAGCTGGAAGCAGATAGATGTAGTGAATGGTAGTAACCTATTTCTCAGAATGTGGTTTTGACAGACAGTTCTGTCATGCTGGTACTCAGAAAAGGGAGGGAGAACTGCCAGTGTTCAGCACACAACATGCTATCATCGTTCCCTTTGAAAATGCCTGGGATCTGATGTCAGTGTTGCTAAGCATTCAGCAAGCTTTGCCAATCATCAAGTGTTTGGGCATACCAGCAGAAACRCAGTGACAGAGAATAGGAGGGCTTCAGGATATGTAACTCGGGCTCTATAACTTCAGCCAGATAGGATGAAAGAATGTTAACAGCACATTGTTCTTCTCTTTGCTTAGGTGCAAGTTCATCTAAAATGTTAGATACACTTTTTTTGATATTCTAAGAGGTGATGCTGAACTTGCAGCTCCTCCATGTTTAAACATTTCCCCAATCATCTGGARATAGCACAGCCTTCATTTCTTGAAGTGCTTATGTATTTCTAATACTTAGGAATTGTTTCATCCATATGAAATAAGCCCTACAACCTGTCTCATATTGCCATTGTAATTCCCATACTACTGGCAGTGTCATCAGAAAAAGAGGGAAAATGAAGAGAATGCAAAGATTATTTTYACTGCGTCTTTTCTTTGGCTGCGGTCCTGTAGAACTGTTGATTTTAGTGTCTTTTGCCAGCAACAAGCTCACTTGTAACATACCACAGTTGTCTTTTTCTGGCTTTAAGAGTGTTAATATTTCTTTTCTTCATCATCTTCCCTGCATTCTTTCCAAATTGGACTGTTATTTCTTAGTTTCAAGTGACCATGGTGGTTTTCTGCTTGTAGAATACCACAAATTGCAGCATGTCTGTTTGGAAGCATGTAAATGGCTCTGGGAAGCCGTCTCTGCTGCTGGGTGAGGTGAGGTCATCTGTACTGAGATTTCCCAGGGCCTGGAGTTGTCTCTCTTAATGTAACATCTCAACTAATTGAGCTGCTTTTGCTGCCAGAGGCAGCAGAGGAGGAACTTTGAWTTCAGAAGCCTTCCTCATGGTGCTGATGACAGTGTGAGAGCAACCAGTGGGGTTTAAAACTCCTTTCTGAAGCAACAGGTGATGAGGTTCGGTGCTGTCACACAGAGGAGTGAAATCAAGATGAAGTAGCTCATATTCAAAACCTCACTAGGAAAATCACGGGCTTAAGAAGGTTGATGAAAGATGGGGCTTAGCAGCTAGGTACTTTATTGAGCCAACTGCAAGAAAATGCTTGAGGGGGATTTTCAAACACATTTTTATGAAGTGGAGCCAATCTCAGAAGATTGCCYTAGTCAGCCCCTAAGAATATCATGTATTAATTTATAGTTTAGCCTCCACAAAAATAAGCTTTGCGGTTTTCTAAAGGATGAGTGCGGTTGTACAAAGGCAAGTTGTGAGCCTAAGGCTGATGTCTTAACTACTATTGGTAAATTGATGTAGCCCCTCATGAAAACATGAAAATGTCACAAGTAAGAGACAGTTTAATCAACTTTCATATTTCTTACATTGAAAAGGGATTGACACTTCTTAGCAAGTGAGATGTTTGTAGGAAACTTCTCCCAAACCCCCTTTTTAAGTATCTTTTTATAGCTCTTTTKTTTCCATTTGCCTCAGGAGAAACTTTATCCTCAAACTGCAGCAGAGGCTTTTGTCCATAATGAGCTTTTGAGAAATAGTCCTCCTGACAGAGGAAGACGTGAATGACTCCAAATTAAAGATCCTGAACCATTTCATCTGAATAATACAGTTCTTTTAGCATCTACTTTTCTTGCAGAACCATGTGATGAGCTGCCTTTTGTGGCTGTGAACCAAGTCATTACGATTAGGTGACATGCAATGTTGCTTTCACTCTGCTGTCTGCAAGATAGGATTCCAGTGCTTGAGAACCTCTCTTTAACCCGGAGTCTTGGCTGCTGCAGTTGAAACTCAAGTGTTGGTTATGCCATTCCTGCCAAATCCACACACTTTATTTGTCTTGGTGCAGCTTGCCAAAAGTACTGGGGCTGCCAACAGCTGTCACCCTGTGAAATCTTGCCTGTAGGCAGCTGAACACATGCATCATCTAAGCTGTGTGTGTAGTCTTAGTCCAAAAAAAAAAAAAAGTAAATATATTGTCTTTGTCTTCTAGCCAGCTGATGAAGAAGTCCTGCCTCTTCTCCGAAACCCATCAGTTTCTTACGTTTTCAAACGCTGCAAGCAGAATTTTGTCTTTGTTGTCCCTCCAGGTTCTCCGATAGCACCGTCCCAGTCTCCACAGTCGCTTTTGATGGGAGCTAGGTTGCAGAGTGCTCCTACTCTCACAGATATCTATCAAAACAAGCAGAAGCTCAGAAAGCAACATTCAGACCCAGTGTGCCCATCCTATGCTGGGTATGGATATGGCCATTCACCACAGCCAAGCAGGCCGGGCAGCCTGGGGACGTCACCCACCAAACACACGGGATCGTCACCTCGGAGCTCAGACTGGCTGTTCAAAAATCCCTTGCCCACAATCATTGGCTCTCCTACTAAGGTTCGTTAAGTTGCACACTGCTAATAAAATGTGAAGTGGCAACATGTTGCCTGAAACTATCCCCAGGAATCCTTTGGGATTGCTAACCTTGTTTTCGGTCTGTTCTTGGCCTTTGATCCTTCAAGGCAACAGCTCCTTTCAAAATCCCGAAAACTCAGGCGTCCTCAAACTTGCTGGCCCTGGCGAGCCGCCAGGGACCAGTAGATGCCCCTTTGCAGCCTAAAGACATCACGGACCCGAGGGATTTCACCCACTTCCACTCAACGCAAGGGAATGAGAAGCTGACAGTAGAACAGCACGGCAAAGCTGCGTTTGGCAGGTAGGCACTCGAATACCTGCAAGCCATAAAGCTGCTTAGGTGGCTTGGCAGGAGAAGGTCCATTGCACCCAGCAATTTGGAGAGGCAGAGCATGCAGAAAGTGGGCTCTGTCAGGTGCACAGCTCCTGAGGAGATGTTGAGGTTTAGTGGGTACAACAGAAACTCTCTGTACTGTGTGTAAATATAGCATGGACTTCCTGAAGCAGGACGTGGTGCTGTCTAGTTCTGTTTGTTTTTATTATCTGACTATGGGATTCTTGCTGCCTTTGTGAAGCCTGTTTGGTTTTYGGTTCGAAATCCCTATGATAAAAATTGGCATATAACTTTTGAAGAGAAAATGCATATAAGTGTAGTTTTAGTTAGCCCTATTTCAGTTGGTCTGTGGTGAACAGACTTGCAAACTTCTTTTATTTGGAATTATTTGCAAGGATATAAAGTAGGAATTACCTGCAAAAAAACCCCAATAATTTGCAAATCAGCCTCAGCTGCAAATTAGATTCACATTAAGAATTTTGTTGCAAATTCATTCTTTTTTCTGTCTAGATCTGTCAGTACTGGGAAGTTATCGGATCAACAAGTAAAGACCACCCTTGGTGGCCAGTTATATCAAGGCAGCACAGACAGCCTCAATACAGAGCGGCCAATGGATACAGGTAACGTGCAGACAGTGCATTTGTTGTCCTTGTGTGAGGTTTTATGTGCAGTGCCAGCTCGATAACTCTGCTTCTGAGCTTCATAAATGGGCCCAGCAATTTTTAGCACTGCTGTGATCAGTGAAGGAGGCTTTTTTCCAGAGAGGGGGGAAAAAAAATAACATTGTCTTAAAAATATCTATTACAGGATTTGCTAAACAGTGATATTCTGACTGCTTATGCTGGTTAGATTTTTTTTTTAAAACTCATTTGTGGCTGTTTCATTTCCTAATTCTACCTTGTTTTCATATGAAAGTCAGTTTAATTCTGGCTAATCTTACCCCTCCCTTTTATCGTTATGGTGGGGTTTTTTTTTTTTTTTTTTTGTGCAGTGCTACAAAGTTGTTGGATGTAACCACTAATTTGTATGGTCTGGCCATATATAGCTAAGGTCTAATTTAATACTTTTTTTCTTTTTTCCTCCCAGCTCCTGCAGGGGCCTGTGGAATTGCAATGGCACCTCCTTCCATGGGGAGCGGGGCAAGTTCTCGGGCTGTCCTCTTTACTGTTGGCTCCCCTCCAAGCAGCACCACCCCTCCTACCTGCACCCATATGGTCCTCAGAACSAGAACCACCTCGGGTAAGGCTGCCCTGGCACCTGGGCTTGCTGTCACGTGTCCTATTCAGGTCCCCCCCTTCTTGGGACAGTAACCTGCCTACTGCCTCGTGCAGCAGGTCCTCTAGGCCATACAATAAAAAGTGCCRTGTAAATGATGATGCAGAGCACATTTTTTTCTGCCTTTTCTTCTAAAGAGAGGTCCAGAGCCACCAATTTACCATTCAGTCATGTGCAAACCTGTTGTGTGCAGTTTTACTCCACCCTGGGGTGTTCTAACAGCATCTGGCTGTGGTGGAGAGGAAATACTAGTTTTCCTCGATTCTGCATTTTTACCCACTGCTGCACAATGTACAAGCAACACCCAAGTGGGAGCTTGACTGCATTTTCAGCACCCTTTGCCTTGCCAGAGATGGCAATGTGCAGGCCTTCAGCTGCTGAAGGTGAATAGGGGTGAATCCGCATCCGTTTGCACAGCCTTTGCAATTGTCCTAATAGACTGTCTGCCTTGGAAACCTTGTCGTTTGCTCTCCAGTGCCTGTGTTATAAATCCTCACTGTTCTTTAAGGTGCAGCCTTTGCATTCTGTACACAACAATGCAAGGAACAACGAGGAGAACTTCACAAGAGTTAACCTGTGGCGGCTGCTAACTTGTCATTTGCTGTCATCTGCAGCCCCAGAGCTGTGAGATGGCACAACCTATTAGACTGAATGTGTGTGTTATTTTTCTTGTAGTTGGATCAAACAGTTCTGGAGGGTCTCTCTGCTCTACTAGTGGCCGTGTATATATGGGCTCCCCTCCTGGTATTTATATGGGTTCTTCTCCTCCGGGGGCCGAGGCAGCTCCGAGTCTGAAGTACATGCCTTATGGTACTTCGCCTCCCAGCTTAGAGGGCTTTATCACTTTTGAAGCTCCAGAATTGCCTGAGGAAACTTTAATGGAGGTATAGAAAAAAATAATTTAATGTTTTATAATGTATAATGCTAATAAAATGGAGACGTGGTACAAACAGGACTGCTTGGTGTACTTGGTAGTTTCTTCTTCACTATCCCATGTTCCTTCTTAAAACCTTGCAAATGTTCCTGTAGAAGTTGTCATTGCTGCTAGTTATTCCTGATATTTCATGTACTTGAATATGTAACATGACTGTATGTGTCCACCAGAACCTTCCAAAGATGCCTGTGTTTTAATGCCAAGTCTCTGGACGTGGGTGCTGACAGTAGCAATGTCCTCACGGCCATTGGTATTTAACTGCTTCACAGTCAGCAGGTGACATTAAATCCTACTTGCAGGAAGTGTCCCCTATATATTTTTTTTAAAAAGTGGAGGGGTGACACTTCAGAAACACAGATCGGGGTGGTCTTTCCCCAAAATGTTGTCCTTGGACTGTAGGAGTCTCAAGGCAGACTGTTGTGTTTTCTCATTCACATCTTGCTGGGAGGTGCTTGGACATATATCGGATATGTTGCATTGCGAATGTTTGACGGTATATTCTTCCCACAGATAGTTTTAAAAAGGTATTTAGACCTTATTGCTAATGAGAAAGGTATTTAAGCATTGCTAAGATACGTTTGACTGGTTTTGAAGTCCTATTTTGAACAGAAACTGGGCATGTGTCTCTTCTAGTCACCCACAAGGCGTGAGCTGTTTGCTCCAAGAGAAGTGACTTTTAAATTGTGAACTTTGGCAACAGCCACTTTCAACAAAATATAACTTGAGATCTGAGTAATTTGRAGTGAAGCTTTAAGTCAGTTATCTTGTAGGTATCAGGTCTATTATACAATAAAAGCCAAATGTTCCTCCTGGCTTCTCATACAAGTGCCAGGCATACTTTTGAGTTGCTGATAATGTAATAATAAAATGTCCCTCTTGTGATTCCTTTAGTCTCTCAGGTTTCAACAAACAATTCCGTGTCCAAATTCCTTTGCGTCTGTCAAACGAATCTGAAGTATAAGCTGCAATATCTTGAAATCATTAAGACAGAAAAAAAACAAGCTAATGCCTGCTAATCCTTCTGGGCCCATTTGGTCCTGCAGTCCCTAGTGCTTGCTCTGTTTCAGTGTGATTTCTGCATAGAGTTGACATATTGAGAAATCATCAAGTGGCTAGCAAGAATTTTGTTTGTTCTGGTTTGCCTCATGGTTTATAATGGTTAAATTGTCTTTTTTTTTCTCCCTCTGACAGAGAGAACATACGGACACGCTGCGTCATCTAAACATGATGCTGACGTTTACGGAATGTGTTCTGGATCTGACAGCCGTGCGAGGAGGAAACCCAGACCTGTGCACTTCTGCAGTTTCCCTCTACCAGATCCAGGAGAGCATAGTTGTGGATCAGATCAGCCAGCTGAGCAAGGAGTGGGGGTGAGTATGCGGTCAAACAGCATCCAGGGAATTAGTGAATATCAAATACATCAAAAATGTATTCAGACAAACTCTCTCCTCCCTTTGTATTCAGACAAACTCTCTCCTCCCTTTATTGTGAACAACTGTTTTACTGCATAGTGCATTTTATAGGAATATGCTTTTGACAACTGAAAAGAGACCAGAAGGAGCAAAGGATAGAGATAGGATAGGGGATACCTTTCGTTTGCTGGAAGGTAAAGAACAGGACAGTGTTTACTGGCCTGCTACTTGAACTGGGGAAATAGAGGTTACAGATTTGAGGCATGGCAGTGCATTGCTGCGCCTGGAGAGCTGGGCAGCAGCTGCAGTGAGATCTGTGTTACTGGTGACCAGACTGGAACACCACCACTGCGGTAGAAACCAGAGSGGGAGTCAAATTTGACCAACCAGCCCGAATACAGAAGCAGAAACAGGGGGAAATAAGAGAAATTTGGAGTGGTGGGAAAGGGCAGTTCCATTTCCTCCCTCCTTCCTGAAAAAGAAACTGCAAAGTGTGTTTGCCTTTGTCCTGACACTGAGAATTCCAGGGCACAGGAAATGACGCTGCTAGGAAAGCACACGGGTGCTGGGACGTTGACCTCGGGCAGTCGGTCCCCATAAATAAGTTCTTTTCTAAAATGTGTATACATTAAAGCAGTCTGTGATTACTGCTGCAGCTACCACATGAGCAGATGGACTCTCAACCCGTGCCAGCGTGTTTGAGTGAGGGAAGGGTGGGGTTGTTGTTTGGGACATATCTTCCCTTTCTGCTGCTGGTGTGTCCTGTGTGTGTTGTGATTAAAAATAGTGTCTGCCAAAGCTGGAATGTGTTCAAAAAAAAAAAAAAGGTTTTTTGATGCATAATTATTTGTGTTTTCCAGACAAGTAGAGCAGCTGGTGTTGTATATGAAAGCTGCCCAGTTACTAGCATCTTCTCTGCATCTTGCCAAAGCACAGGTCAAATCGGGGAAGCTGAACCCATCCACTGCTGTTAAGCAAGGTAGGTGCAATATAATCTAATCAGCTTTGCTTGTGAATTTTCTTCAGTGACACTTCACTAAAGAAGCCTGAGCTGCAACGTTTGTGTTTGCTTCCTTTGGRACGAGAGAACTATAAACCCATGCAACTGCACAATTTTGATGACAAAAAGAATACACTTATTAACTTTGTAAAAATGGCAGCTGTTAATGTGAAGTAAAAGCAATTTGGTGAATTTATAAAGTGGCTGAGTAAATAAACATAAAAAGCATAACTTGAAACAGACAGTGCTAATGCTGGGGGGAAAAAAGAAAAGCTGTGCTTAGGTTATGATTTAAATCTCTTCTTTCCAGTTGTGAAAAGCCTCAATGAGCGATACAAATTCTGTATTGGTATGTGCAAGAAACTAACAGAAAAGTTGAATCGTTTCTTCTCGGATAAGCAGAGGTTCATTGATGAAATCAACAGTGTAACTGCAGAGAAACTCATCTATAACTGTGCAGTAGAAATGGTAGGTTGCTCCTGTTGCTTAGATAAGATAATGCCATTGGTAACATGTCACCCATTTTCTCTCATACCCCTTCAGCATGACCAGCACACAGCGTGCATCTCTCCAGAATTTTATTCAGGGAAATTTTTGCTGGTCTTTCATGCTGTTTCCCGCTCTCTCCGAACTGCGGCTCAAGTTCCTGGCAGATGCTGTTCCTCAGAGACCTGCCTCCACATCAGCACATTTGCTGCATAAACATTAGGAAATGAGCTCCTGAGCCGCAGTCTCCAACCGTACCCTGTGTGCTGACGCCCTGTGCAGTAACGTTTACTCAGGGGTAGAAGCAGCACGGTAGCTTCCTCAATCAACCACTCCTATTTGAGGAACATGAGCCTGTCCGTACAAAGCAGGAGGCAGAAGTGTCCTTCAAAAGATCTTGGTCATGCACACGTAACCTGTCTTCACACGRGGATGTAGGCATAAGAACAAGCATGTTCATTCATGCCTTGTTGTGATTTCAAAATACATATTAAAGCACATAGAACCAATAGATGAAAGTGTTTTACAACTTATATGTGCAGAACATCCTGAGATAATGCAGCACAGGGACTATATTCTCTTAAACTTCTTTTTGTTGCCTTATTGTCACAAAAACAAAACAGCTTAGTTAAGGTTCAAAACCAGCTTCTTAATGACAGTTTTATTCATTTTGCATTTCAATATTTGCCCAAGGCAATTTATGTAACTCAAGTCTCCTGAATGATTGCAGGTTCAGTCAGCAGCTCTGGATGAGATGTTTCAGCAAACTGAAGATATTACATATCGATACCACAAAGCAGCCTTGCTGCTGGAAGGACTGACTAAAATACTGCAGGACCCTGCAGATATAGAAAACGTACACAAATGTAAGTTTAGGTTGGGTAATGAAGGCACTGAAAACTCCATGCTGTTAATGAATTATAAAATTAAWCCGTTTTTACCCTCTGCTTTCAGATAAATCTAGCATCGAGCGAAGGCTTTCTGCACTTTGCTATAGCACAGTGGCTGTGTATGAGCAGTAGGAACATCCCGAGGACCAGATGGTGTGAACAGAAGGGACCACATCAGTGATACTGCACTTTTTTCACTACAGCTTAATTGTTGTCCTTGTTCTGCCCCATGTGGAAGATTATTATTACATTTCTGTGGTGACTACCAAAGAAACAGCAGCATATTCAAAGAGGAGAAATTCCCAAAGTACACTTGTAGAAAACCTGCCTTATTGATCCAGCAGCATTTTTTCCCCCCTAGCAGCAGAGTTTAAGAGCATCTGTCTTCACATTTCACACTGATTCTTGTGCGTGTGCTTTGACTTGAATGACAGGGGCTCATCCCCCATGAAGTGTATAGAAAGGATCCTTCTGCATCAGGTACAAAAAGACATTTTCCCTCAGAAGATTCCCTCGGTTCCTTGTGGAAGTATTTTTTAATTCTCATTAAGAGGTGGCTGAGTGAATTTGGGAAACCTGAACCACGTGCAAGTTGCTGTTRGCGCTTTTGGAGTTAAGCTGGCCTGGATCTGTGCTATACTGCAAACCTGGCTCAGCCTGACGTGAGGGGATGGTGAGGAAGCACTTTTTTACACGGTGGAAAGTTGGTAATGGAAGAAAATGCGCTCCATGTGTGCAGAATCCCAGTGGGTTTTCAGCTGATGTGGATACAGTTTGATGATCTTCTTCCAAAACACTGTTTTGCACTAATTTACTAAAGCAACTGTATATTCATTTTTGAAGAACTGTATAAAAGACAAAGAAGGCACAACGGACTTGGCTGAATTTCATTTCAGTGTATATAAAATTCTTCTAAGAATTTCAAATGTAGCTTCTAGAAGTCTTTCAGACAAACTGTAAAAACTTGTATTCATGTGAACCTTTCCATTTTATACCTGTTTGTCTAATACTTGAGTAACTACTGCTCTGGACTTTCTCAGTGATAGAAATGCTTTGAGTTGCTGGTTGTTTGCTGCTTACATAGGTTTGGTTGCATCTTTTGTTGTGCATGCAATATGTGCATTAATGCCTGCAGTCCCTAGGGTGTAATGACAGTTCTCTGTAGTTCGTTGCTCGGGCAGTATTACAACAAATACTGTAAAATGAGAGGAGCCGTGTAAAAACAGGAAAGAAGGGAAAAAAAATGGATTGGGGATGCTGATGCATTGACGTAGAATTTCTACCTGTGGCAGGTGAGAAATCGGGATTGGTTTGTGTGCTTTTTGGAGGAGAGGTGGGAAGCTTCATTTAGCCTTATAGGCATTATTATTTTGAGCATCCCATGAGATCATCGGGACAGTTTTGCAAAGTATTTAGGCAGATCAGCTTCTCTGGAAATGGTTCCTATACTTTATTTTTGGGACTCTTTTGTTACTCAGCTGCTTGAATACTTGAATAAACCATTCTCCAGGACAAAATCATTTTAATCCTCTTAAACACAGTGGTCTGAACTATTTGACAAAACTGTACAGGGCTTACACATCAACATATTGTTTCAGTGTTCGGATAACCATGTGTTTCCTTTACTTTGACAGAGTAATGTACTTTTTACCTTATTTATCTGTATGAAATTCCAACAGTTAATTTGAAATTGTTTATATAATGTTTGTACTTTTAAGTCTTTAATACGGTGTTTCTACCTCTCCTTTGTAATTGCATGCATTATTCTTGAAACTAGGTAATAACTCACTGAACTGTTGCGTAATAATAGCCTTTTTATTATGGCCTGTATAAATGTATATTAAGGTAAAATAAATACTGACACTAGAAGTGTTTCTATGGTAAAAACCAAGCTCGTTTCTGTCTGTAACCAAAGGCCAATTGTGTTAACTTAAACAAAACCCTCTTCATGTGCCTGTTTAAATTAGCTGTTGAGTGTTCCCTGGAGACTGGATGTGCTGCTGGGGAGGAGACGCTCGGCTTATCCCGTCGGGGCAGCTCGCCTGAGTTCCTACTAAATTCGTTCTCCAGCACAAAGTGTCCCTGAGCTTTCCCTTTAGGAAGGGTTTTCCTTCCCTTTGGGAAGGCAGTTCATCCTGTTTTGTTTTTAACATGGATCTCAAAGCAGAGTGTGCAGGTTCCGGGTACATTCTTCCATGAAGGGGGGCTGATTCGGGGCCTCCAGCAAAGAGGAGCCATGGTCAGCACATCACAAGTTCTGTTTGATTCTTCCACAAAACCCAAGCTATCTCCCCAGCTGAGAGCTGTGCTGGGATACCTGGTAGGTGGCTGCTGTTCTCTTAGCTCTACTGTTTTTTTTTTTTTAATTTTGTTATTTAAAGAAGTCTGTGTTTGTGACTGGCAGATGATGACGCAGAGGATGAGGAGGGTATGAGCAGCGAATGCTAATGAAATGTCTGAACATGGATCTGTGAACAAAGCAAAAGGCTGAAAGTGCCAGTCAGGGAGATAGGGTCCTTTTCCCAAGAACTCACTTATTTTCCCCTCTCTTTTTCCACAGCTCAAGCGCTTTCTCCCCTTGCCAGCGAGACTACAGCTGCACAAACAGGAGCAGAAGAAAAGGGCTATTCTTGTTTGCTGCTTTCAGGAGGAGGAGACCAGTGTTCATGGCCGGTCCTTGTGCATAAACTCCTTTTGCAAAGGTCTGAAGCTGTCCTCTGTCTCCAGCTCTCTGCGCAGAGCAGCAGGTGCTCGTTTCTRCCAGCCTTTTGAAAGAGAACTTGAAAGGAAAATTTTCATGTAATGCTTTTCTAGCTGCACTGTGTAGCATCTACCTGCCCGTGCAGCAGCCCTGTTTGCAAGCAGCCCCCTGACATCCTCAAGGGAATGAGCTGCAGCGGGATTGTTCCGCGTTGGAGCAGGACCCCATTCATCTGGAAGACCCCGACCTACAYTCAGCACCTTCTCCTGCGGATCCGGCCCCCTGTTTCCCACGCAAGTTTTGCATCCAGGTGAATTCCCGCACCTCAGGCAAAGCAGTGGAAGTTATTTAATGTCTTGCTGCATCCGACTGGCCGCGTGTCCCTGCCCCRGAGCGGGGAGGGCGCCGTGCCCGCTCCTCAGCGCCGGGGGCTGCTGCGCTGGCAGGGCCTTTGCCCCACGGGGAGGCCGGGGGACAAAGTGCCACCTCCGGCGCCCGCCCCTGGGGACTCTGTCCTCGGGCCCACATTGCAGCCTCGGCGCRGGCAGCGGTGCAGGTAGGAGGAGCKCGTCCCGCCGTGGGCAGGGGCTCTGGGGGTGGCGCTGGGCAGCGCGGGGTCACTCGTGTCACCGCTCGGCTTCCCGGCTCCTTCCTTGTGCCGTGGCCAGCGCCTGGCCGGGGCCTCCCCATGCCCSCATCCCGTGGGCTCTGCCGCGCAGTCCCACGGCTGCCTCCCCGCAGAGCCCTGCAGGGTTGTGGCTCCCCGCTGCAGCTGCCCCTGCTGCACTGCACTGCAATGTGTACCCCCTCCCCGTGCACTGCCTTGTGCCGGCGTGCCCCCCCCCCCATGCACAGCACTGCATGGAGTGTGCTGCTCCCGTGCACTGCACTGCACGGCGTGTCATTTCCCACCCCTGCACTGCATCGCGCTGGGTGCCCCGCCGCACCCTGCACGGGGTGTGCACCCCTCGGTGCACTGCACTGCATGAGCCGTCCTCCCCCCATGCACTGTATGGTGCTGCGTGACCCCCCCCCCTGCATTGCACTGCAATGGGGTGTGCTCCCCCTTGCACACTRCATTGCAGTGCGTCCCCTCCAGTGCACTGCACTCTGTGGGGTGTTCCCCACTGTGCACTGCATTGAGCCCTGTGCCCCCTGCCCCATGCACTGCATGGAGTGTGCCCCCCCCGGGCATTGCATTGCATGGGGTGTCCCCCCCGTGCACTGCATGAAGCGTGCTCCCCCCGTGCACTGCATGGGGTGCTCCCCCTGTGCACTGCATGGGGTGTGCTCCCCCCTTTGCACTGCATGGTGTGCTCCCCCCGTGCACTGCACTGCACTGCGTGTCCCCCTCCCCTTGCGCACTGCATCGCGCCGCGACCCCTCCCCACACCGATACCTGCCCCCCACCGGGCTGCACTGCGCACGCGCGCCCTGGTGGAGGGGGGCGGGGGAGCGGCCGTTCCCATAGTCCCCCGCGGCCGGGGCGGGGCCGCCCGTCACGCCCAGGGGGCGGCTCCGCCGGGTGCCGGTACCGGCCCCGCTCGCTGAGGGCCCCGCTCGCTGAGGGCCCCGCGCGCTGCGGGCTCCGCGCTGAGGCCGCGGCCCGTCCCGACCCCTCGCAGCGCCGAGCCGCCATGGAGAGCGCGCGGCGCGCGGTGGAGCGCGCCCGGGCCGCCTTCGCCACGGGCCGCAGCCGCCCGCTGGAGTTCCGGCTGCAGCAGCTGCGGGCGCTCGAGCGGCTGGTGCGCGAGCGGGAGCGCGAGATCCTGGGCGCCATCGCGGCGGATCTGCGCAAGGTGCGTGCGGGCCGGGACCGGGACTGGGGCCGGGGGGACCGGGGC